TCCTGTCACGTGGCCGGCCTGTCGCCAGGGAACAGCCCTCACACGTGTTCACGCGGTCTGCTGTGTGGTGGCCAGCAGGTTCTGACTTTTGTATTTCCCAGGGCGGTCGGAGCAGCCCAGACCGCAGCAGATGAACTTGACAGACTGGGGGCCTGCAGCAGTGGAGCTGTTTCCCCCCCACTTCCGCCCAACTGTTCACCCTCAAGGCCTCAAAATAAACACTGAGGTAAAATGGGTTAGCTTAAAAAAAATCCTTTGGTTTTGCATATAAAAGTTTACAGTAATGGTTATTTTATCAAGTAGGCTTTGGCTCTGTTTCTAAAATACGAAATCTTTTTTTATTAATGTTTATTTGCAGCTTTATGTTACCAATGTTGATTATATTACTGTTATTTGTTTGGGATTTTTTTAAGAAATAGGAAAAAGAAAGATATGATACTGCAGCTAAACCACTTTTAACTGCTGAAATCACTCCTAAACGGAGACTTGAGCGCTGAGAGGCCCCGGTCACTCAGTTCCTTGAAACGTTGGTCACGCAAACCGCCGCAGTACTCACAGCTCTGGCAGAAGGCCTCATCAGACCTGTCTGGACACTGCTGTTTCCCGTCACATGCATACGTGATGTCGATGCAGCAGCCATCATCACACATGAACTGGTATCGGGAACAGCGCCCTGTACAAGCTGCAGAGAGGAGAAACATGTGCTGTGAAGCACTGCACCCAGCAGGAAAGACCTCAGATGAGAAATGCCACGCAGGACACAAACGTGTCTTCGATTCCCTGCAGGCCTTTGTGCTCCAGAAGAACACGAATCATATCTTTTTGCCAAATACAACATCATGCTCTTTTATAACAGCATCGGTTATTTAATCAACTGATTTGAAGTGGGATAGATTGGTGTCTGTTTTTTTGTCTGTTGAGCGCTATTATACCAGAGTTAAAGTATTTAGAGTCTGGTATTCAAAGTCACATATTCACATTAATATGCAGTATCATTATGCTTCATTCATCTTGAGCACAATGTATGAAAGTGATTTTTTTCAATGCTTTGGAACCTCAAATCTATTCATTTTGCAATCCATTAAAAAGAGAACAAATACTCTAATAATCAAGCAACACTGCTAAATAATAAAATGGACTATGCCGCACATTTTATTAAACACATATATTTTGTCTGACTTAATATTTCCCAGAGGGTATTAACATTTCCTGCAGTCTGAATACTTCTGTCTCTGGCTCAGTGACCTTCATGCAGTAGTAACATTTATTAATGCAAATTTCTTAATTATGTTCCATTATGGACAAAGGCCGAGTGATCTGTGGAGTAATCTGGCTGAAATTGCTTCCTGCTCTCTAGGAAATAAGAATCTGACTCGTCACTAGTCTAGCCAAGTAAAGCATTGTACTTTTAATTATTGTTAATGGCTTAGCAATACACCACTTCTGAAGTTGTCACACATCAGAATCCAAACAGCATTATAAACAGTTTCAGAGCACAACACCATGGTTTTGATACGTCATAAAAAAGTGGTTCTGCACAAACAGTATTTAATAGAGGCCAGTTATTTAGTATTTTAAGTGGGAGAGCAGTTAATCAGCCACCCCCACCTGAAAGTGTATTTAATCTCTGATGCTTGCTTTCTGCTTCAGGTTTTACTTGTGCACATTTCGGTTGTATTGTGGCTCTCCCGTTGTGCACGTCGTGAAATAAAGACGAACATTTGTCTCACTGCTGTCTCCTGTCTGGTTCATTTGGGGCTGCCCTGACTGAGTGCCTACAGTCTTATATATATTGAATACTATCAAGAAATAATAATTAATAATGATACTAATACACTGCGGAAAACGAATATGCTTTCAAGATCAAAACAAAGCCACGCTAATTTCTTCCAAGTTGGATGAAGCTGAGTATTACATCCATAATTGTTTATCAAAACATTTTGGGAAATGATGTTATTTTCCTGAACTCCTTTTAAATTTGAGACTCCCAGACTCCAGATATAATATGAAGTACATGTGGGAGAAGATCCTGTCATTTCAATTCCAGATCTAGGGCTCCTAACCCGGCTCTTGGGGGACTCCTGTGTCTTTTTTGTTTTTGCTCCATGCGAGTTCTTCATGGACGGGCATTTTCTCTTTGGGGGTCGGTTTTTTAAAATGAGAAACTTTCTCATTATTCACACTTTCTCATCATTCCAATGAGAAAAAGGAAAGTGTCAGTCAGACATTATGTTATGGGATTATAGATCTGCCAGGATACAGCCCGGATACTGGCTTGAAGAGTAGACCCACCCCTACGCCCTAGTGGCTGACTGAGCAGTAGCTGGGGAGGGGTGTATTTTCACAGTGGGCTTGGTGTAGATAAGGGTGTTGCCCTGGTCACTTTGGGTTGCTAGACCGCAGCGGTGGGGGCAGCTGCTTCAGGACAGAGAGGTTAGTTGTCTCAGAGCATTAAGTGGGAGGGGCTGGGGTGCTCAAGGCAGATCTGGCGTCGCCTGCAGGTGCATGTTAAAGGAGGCCAGGGATTCTAGTTACAGAGGATCACAGAGTGGTTTGTGCAAAGGTGCCCTGAGCCTGAGGTCTCTTCCACAGGACCCTGAACGAGTGCTGAGTTGTCCGGTCTTGGAGGAGGCACCAATGATTGCTGTACTTTAATTGTGGGTTAAACATCTTTTTTGTTTAAGTCTTATATTGGTATATTTGGAGATTCATTTGGTGACTGTAGAGTATTGCTGCCCATTGTACTGTATGGTGCAATACCACTTTTCTCCTTGTGTTCACTGATTAAGATCACTTTATTGGCCATATACAATTTCTTGCATTAGGAATTTGTCTTTTCGCATTCCCCAGCTTGCTCTCCATGAGACACACAGACAGGGAGAGAAGCTGGGGGTCAGAGTGCAGGGTCAACCATTTATACGGCGCCCCTGGAAAAGTTGGGGTGAAGGGCCTTGCTCAGGGGCCCAACGGAGGAGGATTCCTCTGCCGGCCGTGGGATTTGAGCCAGCAACAGGCTGGTTCCACCCACAGGCACAGATCCTGAGCCACAGAGCCACCGCTCCGCCCATCAGACCTCTCTTAGAATAAGACACCACAATACATCCTTCTAAGGAAGTGAGAAAGGAATTTGTTGTTGTGACTTCATTAATTCTTTACTCTAGGTCAAAAGTTCTTGGGTTTATCCATTTATTGTCATCATTTATGATGCATTACATAATTAACATTGGATCAAATTAATTTAAAATTAAAACTAGGTGTCATTTTTGGCTGAGGAGGCTTTACTGGAAAGGAGTGATTTTGGAGACGGGGAGTATGGCATTACAGAGACATTTCACAACTGACGTATGTAGGCTTGTTTGTTTTGGGCTGAGTCAGTACGTATGGGCATCAGCAATCAAACGGAAATTGGACATGAATGATTTCATCACAACCTGAAAACACAGATTCCCTAAATAACTCTGCAGTGTACAACGCTCTGTTCAGTGCTCTTTAAGAGACCGCTGTACTGTTGGGGACTCTGGGGACTCTGCTGCACCTTCTGCTTTGTGCTCAGGTGGAAGGACAGTGATGGTGACGTTGTCTGAGCTCTTCTGTCCAGCAGTGTCCGTGACGCTCAGCTGGAAGCAGTACGACCCCTCCTGGAGACCACTCAGCTTCAGAACTCCGGGCTGGGTGACCTGCCCAATAAAGGAGCACAGTCACCGAGAGGCGACATGGACAGCAGTACTGGCTAATATAAATCTAAACGAGGCCTGAGCAGATAGATAGATAAGGCTTTACTGATCCCGAAGGGATGAAAAGCCCACAAGACAGAAGCTACTGTACTCACACAAAGCTCTTCACAACTTCACAATGCACCAAAGAAACCTGCGCTCAACAACCCAGTACTACCACCATGAAACCTGTTTACCATCCAAGTCGCCTGCTTAGATCACAGAATTCAGGTCTTCTTCATCTTTCACGCATTAATAAAATAACAGTTGGTGGTAAAGCCTTTAGTTACAGGGCCCCTAGCTTATGGAACAGTCTCCCACCCCATATTCGGGATGCCGAGTCAATCTCAGTATTCAAATCCAGACTGAAGACCTATTACTTCAGCCTAGCCTACTCACACCTTACATCATAGCCTGCTGCAATCATGGCTGCTGGTGCTGCTGTACATGCCATTGTGTGTCTCTGTGTTGGTCCACCAGGTAGATACATCTGTTCTGACCAAACTATCCTATTCCCCTCCCCACATGTCTGGATGGTGCCCGGGCTGGGCACCATCTGAGTTGGATGCTGCATCATTGCTATGGATCCAAGAGGGACATCGATGATATAGCTATTGTTTACAATAGGTCTACAGAGATCTGCATGGAGTACTAACACACAGAAGACATGATGGATGGATGGATTAATACCCTCGCCCTTCTCTTAAGGGCTCCTAGGCAATCAACCAGGGGTCTGATCATGTCTCTTCTAACAGAGCAACGCAGCCCCGTCCAGGGGGGTTCAGTGACAACGGGAGGAAGAGAGGCACGTCTGCACGCCTGCAAAGGGCTCAGAGAGTCCCGCCTGACTGACTGCCCCCCGCCCGCCTGGCAACTCTCGGTCACAGCTGGCTAGCGACACGACTCACGCATGAGCTCACGACCGTAGCGCAGTCCATTCTTGAGGGGTTAAAATCACACAGCAGGACAAGAAGGCTCGTTAAGAGCTTTGAACACTGCAATGAGGAAATCAAAACGCTGAAAAAAATATAACTACTGATTTGTATCCTTCCATCGACTAATTGGTATGTTTTGCAGTACACGACTCTTCGGTTTGGACAGTAAGGAGCACTGACGTTATTCATCTCTCACCTTGATTGCACAGGAGAGTTTTATCACAATAGGGCCTCTGTCCTTGAAAGAGGTTGTAATGTAATAGCTTCTTATCTAAACCCTTGCAGCATTTTCAATCTGTCCTTTTTTCCACATGCAGGTCCTACTCTGCTTCTGAGCCCAGCTGTATCCTAACCAAACACGCTGCATCTGTTCTCTGACTACTCTAAAGAACCTCCTCAATTTGTCATGAGCTTCTCAAGTGAGGATCACACCTTTTATAACAAGGATTAGGTCTTTACTTACCCAGTCTGTATGCTTTAATATTGAGGTATGATAGCACTTTGAGATTTCTTAAATTAGTACTTTTCTTTCAGAAATTCAGTCATAATTTACAAGTAATTCTGAATACCCAAGAATTAAATTATTCTTCTAAACGCAATCTTATCCAACAGAGTCCTATAAGTTAATTACAAAATGGTTTGACTCTGTTTTTTTCCGACTCACCACAAAGGCATGAATCCACTTTATAGCTTTTAAGTCAACAAATGCTTAATATATGTGTAAACTATATTTGTAACGTTTTGGTAAATGTTTTTAATGTCATGTTACGAGAGTTATTTTGCGAGCGTAATTATTTCTAGCACGTGGATGTTATAACTGACCTACAAAATTCAGTTTGTTGTGAAAAATATAAAATTTCCACTGTGGCAAATGTGTCCTCTGTTTCTGGGGAGTGACCTATGGCTTAAAAAATAAAGTACGTTTGAGTACAACCTGTCACACGATCCCACATCGGGCTCAATGTGGAAACAATTCTCAGACAGCCTAATTCTACTGGGCAGCTCTGTAGTTTCAGTGACTCACCACAATGCCAGATAAATAGACGCTTGTTTATTCAGCTTCAGATAATGTTTTCTTTACTTTAAAAAGGTTTAGGACGATACCATGAGGAGCTTATTTTTACACAGTGTCTTCTGATTTTCATTCTGAATTCTTGTTGTGAATGAAACGTTCATTTAATTGGTCTCTTTCACCCCTGTTTCCAAGTCTATGCCCATTGAGGATTAGAAGTTACCCATAAAACAGGGTGGCGGGCCAGACCAGCAGGACAAAAAACAAAGTGGTGTGTCAGAAAACACAAACCATACTTAGCAAAACATGAGAAATAAACCCAGAAGATAACAGAGGCCAGAAAATGCTACTGAGAAAGAAGAACAAAAAAACGTTCAATTTTGTCCATCCTTAAAAAAAGCACAGGACAGAGACTACAGGCAGGGAAAGGCAGCTGATCTCATCCCAGTCGTATGGCCTCTAGCAGCTGATTGGCCCACGGTTCGTGCCGGCCATGCTGGAATGCATAAAATAGCAATGCAGTAAATGAGGAGGTGGCAGGTGCTTGTTCCTATCATGAGACATATTGGGACGACCTCTGTTAGTTCCTTACCTTGGTAATTACAGAGGGATCACCTTGCAGTAAGGTCCATTCGTAGCGTGGGATTCCGTGATCGTCTACGCTGTCCCTCCCGTCCAGAACTGCCCAGTCGGTGGGCAGCTGTATGACCACGTCCTGCCCAGCATCACTGCGGGGGGGCTCATCACTGTCTGCATGGAAAAACAAGAGAAGAGAAGCCCCATCGATCCGCGCCACTGTACTGTCAAAACACTTGGGGATCCTCCGGGTCGTTCTTATTATTGATCACCTGCTGGTTATCTGCTGTGACTAAGTGTTGAGTGCTTAGGAACCCCTTTATATTTGGTCCTCTGGGAATTGATAGATGCAAGAGGACACTTAAAAAAGCCCAAAGTTCTGATCCTCTTAAGACAAATCTAATCGATGAAACGAAGTAAAATTTAGGATAGGAAGTAATTTACTTTCCAAAATAAAAACTGTTCTTTCTTGGTACTGAGGACCTAGTCCGTGATCTTATGGGTCACTACAGACTCTCTAAGGGCAATCTGTAAAACACAGGGCATCAAATTTGTGTTAAAGTCGCGCAGTTTTCAGCTGTGTGCATCACACAAGAAAAACATTTCAGTATGACACACCAATGTATGACACAGCAATTCACTGATACATACAATTTGACTGGGAGTGCCTGTACAGCTGTAGGCGATGGTGCAACCAATTGTCCATATAAGTCACATACTGTAATTAGCTGAATGGGAGTCCACCTGTGTGCAGTTATGGTTTTGCACATGAGTTCAGGTTAAACCCACCCATCTCTGAGAGGTCCCGCTGTTGAGGAACATTCAAAGCACCTATCAGTGGACAGGAAAATATGTTTTCCAAGGCACTGAATATCCCCCAAAGCACAGTAAAGTCCATTATAAAGACATGTCAAAAATATGGCACAACCGGGAATCTGTGCAGAACAAGGCGAGAAGAGCACTAGTCAGGGACGTCACCAAGAGGCCACAACTCTAAAGGACTTACAGTCTTCCACCGCCAAGATGGGAGAAACTGTTCCTATGACAACAATTTAGAGGGATCTGTAGAATTTTGTTTTCACTTTAACATTACAGACTATTTTGTTTTGTTCAATGGCGAAAATTCACAACTTTAAATTTGTTGTTGAGCCTTTTCAGGTGTCGAGGCTCAACAGGAGAAACATTTTGTTTCTTCTTTCTACTGTTCAGCCTGAAATTAAACTTTACTATTTACTTTGCATCAAAAAGAACACAAAGACCCTAATTTGAGCATTGTGTTTGACGGCACTCATAATGTATAGGAAGCTTAAAATGGTAATATAGTCCTGTTGGGATCCCAGGAGAATGAACATACTACTCTTCAGGTAACCAATCATAGTAACAAAGTGTGTTACATTGTTCAGCAGAGGGAGATAACTAAGATTGACTAAGACTGAGATTGACTTAAGGTTCAAGCATTAGAAAAGAAGTCTGAGCACCTTTCACTAAGTCTGGAACAGAAGAAGAGTTTGGCTGCCTTAATGGTGGCAGGTCTCGATAGATCTGGTGATGCTGTTCACAGGCCTGTAGATGCACAGTCAGTCCTGTCTTCCCCCAAAATGACTCACAAAACACTTCGTTGTGGCAAAACTCCCTGCCCACGTTTAAAATGAAAAACCGATGTCACTCGAGTAGAGATAATCTTTTTCACTCATTTTCAATGACAGGCGTGAAAATGATTATCTCTACTCGAGTGACATCGGTTTTTCATGAGGGACTGTCCCTCCCGACACGGGGTAATGACGAACAGGTGTTCTTCAGTATGAACACTTGGACCCGTCGGAGCTCTGGGCTCTGTATTTGAGCTTCGACACCGAGCCTCTCGTCCCACAGCACCTTCCTTGTGTCTGACCTTCGCTGGCCTCATTGACGGGTCTCTCCCTACGGCTTCTTGCCTGCCGGTGTCTTCCCAGCTTTGGACTCAGACGACACTTGACCAAGACTCCCCGGTTCGCCCTCTCTGCAGACCGAGCGCCCCGGCTCCCCAGCTAGACATGCCTGCCAGCGAGCAGCCTGCTCCTCGTCCCCAGGGCTCCCCCGGGTCCCAGTAATAACACAGAGCTCCTGGGTTTCCCTGTGAGCCACTCGCAGGTTCCCCAGCTCGGCTTCCTCTCGCCTGGCGAGTGGGCTCTCTCACGTTCCTGGATCGCGCTACGAGTCCTGCCTCACTGGCGTGCCATTACAACATTATGACTAAACTAAAATGATATCTCTTAAAAAAAGCATTTTTCTAATCATTTGTATATGAGGTCTTTAGCTCTTTGATTTTACTCTCGGATGAAAGCACTGCGGGCAGAAATATCAGAGCATTTTGCTTGTACGTCAGACAGAAGCAGCTTTTATACTGGGCTGCTCCTGGAATCTCTTCTCGGCGGGTGAGTAAGAGTTTGTCTCAATATATCTCCTTCAATACAAAACGTTTTGTGGTGCAGCATATCCTTGTTTCAACCTTGACATTATCATGCAGTGTAGATACAGATGCAGATTTTTATGCAGAAGAAAGGTGTGCCAAAGTACGTCCTTCTGCGTCACTCAAAAAAGGTTTAAATGCCCCTTGCATACACATAATCTGTGGGACAATCTGTGCCTTTTAACTGAAAGCAACATAAAAATGCACAGATGGTAAAATCATACATTGAGCCCAAAGCACAGTCCACAAGAGCACCAATCTATTACCCTTGAAGACCAGTCATCGATGGTGTAGGATTTGTCAGCAAAAACATCACTGCAGCAGACTAATTAAACAGCTGCCGATGCCCTACACAAGGAAGCAACACCTTATCTATTGTCTTGCTAAGCTTAGTAACCCTGGCCCACAGCACGGCAGCCTTTTCCAGGCACCCAGTCTGTGCAGAAAGTCAGAGTCCTGGGGTACTTTTGCATATGACGTACAGGCAGTTGACTCTGGATCTGAGCCCATATGAGGCATACACACTTCTGCCTGCCCTGATGAACAACCCCCCCTTCCCCCCCTCCACCCTACGACATTATCAAACTGTTTACCAAAAGCTGAGAGGGTGACAAGTGACACGCTCCCCAGACACCATGAGCCCTGGCATCCACAGGGCCTGCTGAGGCCGCGGTGGATATTAGGAGCAGCCAGGCCCCTCAGTACAACAGCTGCTATGGTGCTGTCAATTCTAGTTTGCAACCGTCCATTAACTATATGTGTGGCCTTGCTCCAGGACCAGTGGTAGGGTCGGACTGAGTGGATGTGACAATCCTAGAGGACACTTCCCGTACCAAGGTACAGCAGGGGCACAGCAGGAAAAATAGGAACGGTATGGCGAAAAAGCCATGGATCAAATGGATATTTAGTTATAGGGTGGTGGAAGGTCTCAACTATATGTTTTCTCAACTCTGTTTTCTCCAGACATGTTTAAGTATCTCACAGCAATGCTGAGCCTGTGGGCTGTGTTTTTTTCTGCCAATGATCTCTGGGGCCTACAATCCTCAAAGCCTCCTGACATCATCCATCAGCTCACAGCTCAAATCATGTCAACCCTTTCCTTTGATTATCACCGGCTTTGTAAATCCTGCTAAGCCCACCAGCATCACAGTCACAACGTGGACGAGGTCCAGAAATTCGGCAGTTTCTGCTATTACTGCCTTGAGTAAGGATTTCAGATACAGTAGTTTCACAGTGCAACCGGTCCAGTCTCTGGGACACGGGACTCGGGCTCTGACCTGCCACGAACGGATTTTCTGCTTCAGTTTTCTTTCATCAGTTGAATCTTTTGGGGTCTAAATCCTATGCTGGGAATACTCTAATGTAAGAGCTTATCTTTACTGAGTGCCTCCACCACAATATGGACAGTAAATAAGGCCATCTAGACAAACTGGACCACTGATGGACTGGGTCAGTACACAACAGGAAGTATGATTGTGTCCCATTATGCACACTTCAAGAAGCTTTTATTTCAGAAAGACATAATGTATTCGGAAAGAAAGAATGTCCATCCCTCTTGATTTAAAAATGCCGGAGGATTTGTAATTTCTGTGCAATATTAAGTGTTGTTTTCATATTATCGGAAAATATTGTACTTTGGCATGAATTACCGGGTATGGATATGCACAAAAGTTCCTTTCCAGACATTAGAAGCGATTTTAGAATTCATGTTAAAACGTGAATTACCGAAACACCCAGCTCACTCTATGCAGATAATACTGCCAGGCACACTAATGTACTGTAGCACCTTAATTTAATTATGGTTTTCAGCCTCAGTACTCCCTCCAACCAAGTGTTTTTAATACTCGATTTCAAACACATAAGCGTTTTATCAGTCGACTTCAAAAGACAGTGATGTTCAGTATTACAGTGTAGGCTACATGCATTTGCTTAACTGGTCAAAAGGAATCAGAGTAACTTACCTTCTATGGCTGAATCGTCCTCTATGGTTTTGACACGGGGTCCCCCTCTTGAACTCGGGTGTTCCGGAAGGTCCGAATTCGACCCGCCGGCGGCGGGGCGCAGGGTCGCGTTGTAAACGCGGCTGTAGCTGTTGTAGCCTTCCTGCAAAGAGAACTTACAGATATTCCTGCCCCGGTAAGTGCAGTTAAATAAGAAACAGCTGAGGCTCTCTTCCGACCTTCCCCGCTCTTGCTCCGCGACTGCGACGGTGCAGTGGGGATCGGAGCAGCAGGCGTGGAGGCAGTCTCTCCAGCTGTACACCCTGGCCGGCGCGGTCAGGAAGGTGGCTCCCAGCTCAATGGAGTCCCTCGCCCTGATGATGTAGTCCTCTATGGCGTTGTAGCTGTTCAGGCACTCGTCGCCCGCTCCGTCTTCCCTCTTGTGCTCCTGGTCCTGCTGGAGCTGCTTCCGAAACTCCTCCAAGAGCTCCTCTACCCCAGAAAGCTTCGATTTCAAATCCGATATCTGGGAGAATTTGGCCAAAACGCACTGGCCGGTGAAAAGCAGCGTCACGCAGCACAGCAGACGGTGGGACTGCGGAGATGCGGACGACCGTGGCATATTTGCATGTAACATTTTCATGTTGTAATCAGAGGTTCCCCGGAAAGTAATCTTCACCTCTTCATCACCCCCTGAAGGTCAAATCGAGCTAAATAAAAAAAAAAAGAGACCCCTCGCTCTTTGTTAAAACATGACGTCTTACAGTGTACACACAGTGTGTCGTCCACGGTCCTCTGTGTAAAACCCTGCTGTGCGCTACCTTGACGGTAACATGGAGGCCCTGAGCAGCTCAGCACCGGCGAGGACAGACAGCTCCATCCAGCGATGGAAGAGATCGCAGACCCATGACGTCAATAGTGTGCAAAACGCGGAATCGGTCGCACTCGCCGCTGTCTTTCAGTGCCCGACTTGCGCACTGTAGCTAAGCGCTCACCGTGTAGTGTGTGATTAATAGACTGTTTCCTTCACAATATAAGATATTAAAAATACTTTTCCCCTGAAAGGAATAGGAATATAAATGTGATCAAATTAAATGTATTAATTCAGTTGTATAAAGAAGTAATATTCAGAAGTAGGAATTCCTTCTACCTGTATAGATTTGGCAAAACTGGACGGATAAATAAAAAAAAAATCAATAAACCTCACACTTACAGTACATAACGTTTTTCTGGACACATCTCTCAAAGCTCTTTACAGGTGATGGGTCTCCCCTCCACCACTAGTGTGCAGCCCCACCTAGATAACGTGACACACACCTGCTGAGCTTCAGTGGGCTGCTAGTGGCGAGCTGCAGGGCGATATGGGTGCTGTGTTATGAATGAAGTGTCACTTTTTTTATGAAGTTCAGTGCACAATTTCAGCATAGAGCAGTGACCACTTCTGGATTGCTTAAGAGATATTTTTCATTGAACGAATACTGGGATTAACATCAGTGCGCATTTCAGGATTCCTGAGGAGGGTATGTTTAGATAGGTTAATGAAATAACCTTATTCAATACCAAAATGTATGCATTTTCCCCAAAATGGAACATAAAGAATTATATCTGGACTCTGAGGGATTTAATTATGAAAGTGGAGTGTGGGACGCAGAAAAAAAAACAATCTGATTGCAAAATTTCATTTTTATTTTTACAGTTCATCCACACCTTGAAACATTAAAATTATTCACAGACACAATCTCGTCTGTTTACATTACAGATATAAATAAAAACAAAAAAGACAAGCAATCAGTTAAAAACGAGTATTCAAACATTACAATAGTTTGAAAATGTGTAAAAAATATTAGTTCATATTCGCATTTTCCATTTGGATATGCAAGTTAAAAAGAAAAAGGGAATAATGTATAACTGGAAAGGTCTTTACACAATCTAACATTACCATTAGACATTAGTCTGTTAAGTTTCTCTCTCTCTATATATATATGCATCCTTATTAATAATGGCACAATGATCCTCCTACGTTTTGCACTATAAAAACATGTTTGTTTCCCCGATCTGTATTTGCTATGGCTCAACTGAAAAGTTAATGTATGTCAAATAATTTATTAAACTGAACTAAAACACAGAAAAAGAGGAAGCAAACATTTTGTTTTGCGTTGCATATTTAAATCTGTTACTTACAGGTGTAAACACAGTATATAAATCTATGTACTTCAAAGCAGTTCTCAAAGTTTTGTTCCACTGTCACATTTACTTATAAAGGAAAAATGAAAGAGCTTCAGGTGTTTTGACAAAATCACTGAGCAATGAGATATGGTGCATATGATCTTGTCTCAGTTTTTCAGTACGTACAGTCAGTTTTCAACTGCAAGTTATGTGTGTTGTTTTATCTCAGAATTAAAATGTACATGTTCACTGTTTTGCTGACCACACTGCACACAAAAAGTGGAAACAGCACAGTTACAAATTAAGCTCTTGGCAACAAAATTTAGGTGTTATCTGTAGCTAGAGACCAAGAATGATTACTTGCTAAGAGAATTATTTTAAACCTTTATATTACAGATCCAAGCTATGCTGCTTAGGAAGGAAACATCAATTAACTCATATAAACTTAGAAACTCTCACATCTTGGTACAACTCACACAAATGTATTTAAATTTTAAAACAGAAAGTGGATAATTAATTTCAATCTACAGAAAGAGTACAGGGCATAGCGGGCTCGAACACAGCGCTAAAAAGATATTCTGGTCCATTCCAAAAACAAATCGACTCAAGCTTTGTGGTTTGTTATAATTTTTTAGTCTCAGTTCCAATATACGTGAAGAGAATATTAAGAAAAATAAGATACACTAGTTACCAAGGTAAGTTTTAATTTTCAAAGAAAAGCAAACAGTATCTATTTTATCAAATACTCACTGAAGTCTGACTTAAAAATACCTTCTCAGATGGTCTTTTGTTTTAAAAAGTTAGTCAACTCCAAAAGCTGCTGTTTATCCCAATTTCAATAGATGGCGCTATAACTCAGACTGAATTCTTTGCTGGAACAACTGAAGAATTCTGGTTTGTGTATACATATAAAAACACAGTCAACCCTGTGGCTACAGCAGCCTGCACGTAATGTCCCGTCTCATTCACCCCAAGAAATAGTTCCAGTGGCTCTACAGCTGGAAACCTCAAGGGCCTGAAACTGGAGCACCCAGGGTATGAAAGTACTTGTTCAATATTTTAGAAATATGTACATTTGTAACTAAAGCATTTACCCCAAGTACATCATTCCTTTAATCAGGATGAGTCTAATTTGGTCTCATAAATTACTGAAAAATAAAGTGCAGCAAAAAGAATACTGGTTCCGTATTGATTAAGGTCTTTGTCCAATAAACACATCGGTATCCCAAGGTGTCTACGAATGCTTCTCTCGAAAATCTGTGATGGCTTTCCACAGCTTACACAGCATGCCTCCCCTGTAACACAAAACATTCCCAAAACACATGTCAGAAATATGCATTGCTTCATAATACTTGGGAGTGTGCGGTAAAAATAAAATGAAGTGAATATTTTTTTTAAAAAAAGCAACGTGGCCAAAATCTCTCCAATTAACAGGTGGCTTTTTCTGCACGGTGATTTGTTTGGCTTCTGGGAAAAGTGTCCCTAGGTGTGAGTAGGTGAGTGTCTGTGTGTCTGCCCAGTGATGGACTGGCATCCTGTCCAGGGTGTACCCCGCCGTGTGCCTGTTGCTTGCTGGGATGAGCTCCCTGTGACCCTGAACTGGAAGGAGTTAGAAATTGGATGGAAGGAAGTGAGACTTGGCTTGTTTAGTGTTTTATGACCGTATCTACCCAGTCTCTTTTCACTTTAGCTTTTAAAGACAAGAACCTCCTGAACCTTGAAATAGGTTAAGTAAATATATTTGAAAAACTTCCAAACCTCTTATTATAAAATGGCAAAACAGTTTCAGACCCATTAATACACAACTCCACCGACTCCAAAACAATGCCAGACATACCTTAATCTCAAGATCTTCAGGTCATCTCTTGTCACATCGTGAAGAATGTCGGTCAACGTGTAATCTTCCGCCAGGAACTAGGAGACGTGGAGATAGAAATATGCCCTCTGTTATTCATACACAGCACCATCAAAATCGGCGATCCTCGAATGTACTGTTCAAAGAGCGGCGAGTGTGTTAATAGTAGAAGCTTCAGGACTCGGGGAGATTCATCCCCCTGCAGTTCTGCACCATTGTCAGCTATGGCACCACAATCCCAAAAACCTATTTGAGATATCTGGATTAATGCTTTCGGGAAATCCTACTGTTATTAAGTATTATAAGCATGAATTAATATGACTACGGCTGTTATTGTCTTTGAACACCTTTTAAATTCTATTCATAACTACTTAAAATTGGCCAACGTTAAACCTTGTGAAGTACCATCTGATTCACCTAATGGGGGAAAAAAAGGAAATGGAGAAAGTCCAATATATTCTCCCTAGTAACCGCGGTTGCTATGTATAATAAAGCTGGGAAATACCGTTATGCAAAGAAGGGTAAGTGAATCAAAACACGATGATGCAAATATCATCTCTGGTGTTCCTGCACTGGAGAGATCTTGGGAGTATGTCATGGAGGCCTGCAGGCAGTAATGGAGGGCTAACAACAGTTTTACAATAATTTATGAGTGCTGTTCAGATATATGTTATCCAGAGCTGCACATGCCTCAGTCAATGTCCACCAACAGCAAAGATCTTGCCTATATTTAGAATAATGCATCACTTCCTTCTCATTTGCCTTAATGCGAAGCACACCGAGGCCTGGATCTCTGGAAATCTCCTTCATAATCTGGCACCTTAATCCAGCTGTTTCCTTCAGAGTGTTCGAGACATCCATGTGCTCAAATAGCCTTGCTTTCCTGTCTAACTGCGTCAGCTCACATCAGACACTTGAATATCACGGCTCCAAAAGTCCCAGACGAAAGAGGCTCTTTAGCGCTCAGGAGAGGAATTTAGCATTTCAAGAGGAATATAGCGTTTTGGGCCCACAAAATCCGCATCCCGTTTCCAAGACGATGCAGCCTGACATTCGTCAAATTCTGAACTTGCAAAAACTGTGGATGCACACACAGAATGACGGGCGATAAGTAAGCAAACCCACATCGAACCTTCACTCAACGTCATAACAAAACGACTTCCAAGTGTACGTTACCCTTTCAACGGCGTCGTCATCGGCACCATGTTCCTTCAGCCACTGGGACAGCTCAGGGTCCCCGCGTCCCGCTGCAGAGGGATGGTGGCGGCACACTGATGAGGCAGGTACATCTGCATTAAGACAGGTACTTACAGCTGTCAGCACTGCCTTGGTAACACAGTACCCACTCGGCCTTCGGTCGAGAGTACGACATTCAATGACATATTGAGCAAGAAAGGTTTATTCCCCGCTGAAAAGAGACAAAGCGTTTTGGCGGCGGAGCCCCTCTTCAGGTCACTCCCTACTTGAACATGTTCACATTACTGTTATTTTAAGAGAAGAACAGCTGACATATAAAAAAAAATAAAATACGCTTCACAGTTTTTTTACACAGCTATCCCTTGGCAACCGCAAGTTTACCAAACGCAAATGTGGGCTTCCGTGACCCATTATACTTCAGTGTACTCGGATTGATCTCGTTACACCTCACAACCATACGCAACACTGTGTGTTGTACAGTGTACAGTCTAACATTTCACATTGACAGCAGATTGTAGCATACAGGGACAGTGATCAAACTACAGTTCTATTCTCTCTCAAAATACATATGTGCGGCAGTTCAATTAAAAAGGCTCCTCGGCGTGAGAAAGGGTGAAGAATCTGGTGTTGCTCCACACGCAGTTAAAATGCTGCCATGTCTCTGAGGTTCTTGATCAGTTGCGAGAAGGTCAAAGCAACAGGGCTGCTGGTGGAATATCTGGCGTTAACGGTTCCACAATTCGCACAGGAAAGAAACATGAGGCTGCTATCAGGACAAGTAGTGCCAGCGGCATTCCGAATGGCGAAAAAATGGAAAAGGCAAACATTTAGATGGAAAACCGAACAGAAAAAATGCCTGAGTAAGTATGCTTTTCCACGCAGCATGTGGGAAGCTCAGGAGAGGGCACTGGAAAATTGAAAATTGTTTTACCAGCATGGGGGGCTTGGTAACTTTAAGAAGCGTAACAATCTACATAACATAAAGATAGCAGGGGATTATTCTAACATTTATTTTTAGGATATGGCATTGATAGTATGTTGTTCTTTTGTTGTGATTTATTGCCTTTCACTTTAGTCTAGTGTTTTCAGGGTTCAAAACCCTAAACTCTGTTTTTCCCTATAATGTCTTAAGCTTGCCAGCCACTAATATACCTACAGCAAGGGTTTTCAGGAATGTAACTGTTGCAGTTGCAAGGAATTACAGTACGTGTATGCACCACACATCACCGAATCCTGCAGGAGTCTGTGGAAAACTGGAGCGCAGGGGAGAATGACCATCCATACGGTTAATATCTGGTCACATCAAGCTAAAAAGTTAACAGAGCAGAGCAACTTGGAAAACTGAGGAATTATGAAATTTCTATTTGATTCATTCGTCATACGGATGAATAATAATAGTAGTATGATTTGATAGCAGTTGCATTGCAATGCTCCATTAAATCACATTTACAGGAAAACGGTATAGGCTACTATGACTCACTCCGTGCATACCTTCCCAGTCTTTCTCCTCAGTGTCATTTCTCCTGATTTAAATGCATTAAGCAGAGGTAGATATTCACATGCTTTATACGACGCATCAGTAACTCGAAATCTGCAACTTATAATGGTTTAAAAGCTATAGTTAACTATTCGTTAAATTCACCACTTGAGAATAGATCCTTTTGGCAGACTCTCTGCATGTAAATTAATCAAGACCAAATGTTATGCCTTTGAATTCCCTCTGTCATGACCACTCCCCTTTCATCCCGTGCTGCTCTCAGGTTTTACTTGTTTGAGTTTATCTGAGCATTAAGGCTTCCCCTAATTTTTCCCTAAAGTTCCAAAGAGAGGTCTAATGCTCAAGGCCTGAATAAATTAAAGCAGATCACACTAAAAAGTCACCTTTAAAGGCTACACTACATGGTACAGTTTAATACAAATTAATGCACCCTTTACCATCTTGTTTTCCATGCTCTCCACTTGACCTCTAGCTGAATACTGGGAACTAGTCAGTTCCATCATATTTTTGGATTTGGAGGGACAAGCAGTCTGACAGTTGTGCAGTGCTTCAGGGCTTCTGCAGCCTGACTGCACCTGATCGTCAATATTGCTGTTGGACGGTGTAGCGGTGTAGCAATGTTTACAACATGGCTGGGTTACAGGGGCACTCCCTTTGAATGAGCCCAATCAGTGCAAATTCACTGGAAACATGGAGGGAAGCCAGCTGGCCTTTTTATGCAACCCCCCACCCCCCCCAAAATGTTTTCAGCTCTCACCTATTTGGAATTATATATCTAACTCCCTCTTACAGATGGGATCTCAGCCCTTTGCCTACAGGTAGAAGACAAAGCAATAGAAAAGGGGACACCAAGCATATTGACAGCAAGGGCTTCCACACAGTAGCGGCTCATGCGTCAATCAAGGAATTAACATCCACCGGTGGTTACGGGCGTACAGAAATATGCCCAGGAAGGCCTAATTGTCCATGGTTACGGCTGCCAGAGGAGACCTCAGCGACTCTGAAAGATGGGCGATTGTGAGGTCATGTATAGCAGGGGCTTCAGCGATGAGGACAGAAGATAGCTCAATTTGCTGATGCCTCAGGATCAGAAGAACATCTGGTGACATTTCTGCAATGGTTTGCACTGTGATAGCGAGCGCCAGTGTGTCCAACACTCGTAATCACGGAATTTAGAAGAAAAGGCCTATATTAAATAAACAACAGATCACTGCACAGGCCATGGGAACATGTCCCTACCAATTGGCTCAGATTTCATTCTCAGTAGTCTGATTTCCTGCTCTCTCTCCTCCAGGACTTGTTGAAGGATGTTCCGATATTCCATCTCCTTCTCCAACAGCTCCTCCAGCAACCTTCAAGAGAAACGACAGGGAAAAGCATACATCTGCTGAACAGATCAATTTTTCTTGAGCATTTCCTTTACGGTCATGTGGCTGATTCAGATTATGTGCTGTGCTCTGCATGCCTTTGTGTGCAACAGTGCTGATACTGTTTGACTTAATATGTAGCCACTCATTGGGTACTTACGAATACGTGAAGACTATAATCATAAAGGAATGAAAAAAACAGCAGAATACTAGGAAAAAACTAAAATGTGAACAGAAAAGAGGGTTTCCACAAAAATCAGGGAAAGGAAAATCTGAAATCTGAAAGGAAATCAAGGAAGAAAAGATAACAGTACTAAAGACGCTTTTTTCATCATGGTCTTATTACATGAGTAAAATAAGTTACTTGATGAAGAAATACATATTAGAATGTCTTTTCATAACTAAGAAATGCATAACTAATAACTTGCAGAAATCATGGAGGAACTTTTCCTTCGTCTCAAGTGTCCGTCCCGTTTCTGCAAGTCGCCGTTCGCTTGAAATCAGGCGAGGGGCGGCACACCTGCTGGTCTCCAGTTTCATCCTGCCCAGCTCCATGCTGATGGACCGCGGGCCGGCACGGGGCTCGTGGGAGACGGTGGAGCTGAGCGTGCTCACGCCGGAGGTGGGCACCGTGTCGTCGTGGCGCACGCAGGGCCGCTGGCCGCTCTGGGGCGCGGCCCCGCCGCCGCCGCCGCCGGGGTCCAGCTCGTCCTCCGGGTCCTCCGGGTCAGCCGCGTCGCTCTCCGAAGCCAGGCTGAAGTGCGGCCTCAGCTCTGCAAAAGGCCCCGAGGCTTTTGTAACGGAGCTGACAGGGCTGCAAGTATTTTGTTGTTGTTGTTGTTGTTGTAAATCGGACGTTGGCTTGGGCAGTGCAAAATACAATCACAAGTCATTTCCAGGCTTTAGAAACTGGAGGGGTATAGCTGGTCCAGATTACATCAGTTTCATGTGACTTTGGCACGGCTTGGTCTTTATTTGGCACTATTCGCTTCCCAGCTGACTGTCATAGCACATGACCATGAAGGGATTCATGAGTTGTACGTTGATTAATCGCCGGAGTATCCTCATGATTCATATTGTTTACACATAGCAAGCATGCCATACGGTAGTCAAATAAAAAATGTAGACCACATTTATACTGTAAGCTCTGTGTCCTAGGACTAGGGATGGAACATTGCTACAGGGGCAAGAATTTTCTTAACAGATGACGCAGTGCACTGAAATCCAACTTCAATCATCTCTTACTAAAAAATGTCTACAAATCGCAGAACTTAGCTTCAAAATCTTACAAGGAAGTCATGAATTGCACAGAAATGCAAGCTGTTCTGCTTCCAAAACCCCTTTCCTGTACAGATATGGTAAAATAACAGCAGCGACATTCTACCAAATCACACATCTAACAGTCTTGTGAGACTGAGCACAGCTCTTAATAAAAAGTATGAGATTAGTTTTACAACATTTGGAACACAGCACATAAAATTCTCTGCTCAGAAATTTTGTTCTCCAAGTACACTATGGTTTGTCAAACAGAAGTAGCATAAGACCAGTACTGAATTAGGAAGTTATACTATAAATATTTTAAAAATAGGAAAAAACAACTTTAAGGAGGCAAATTCTTTTTTTTTTTCGTTAGGGGCAAGAGACCTTTTTTTAAGTAAAAGAAACAGAATGTGAAGTTACACTGCCACCACTGTTTCTCAGCTGCTCACTCTTGAGTGATTCTTAAGATGAAGATGAATTTTTCCAGATTCCTACATTCAGTTAAATGTATTATGTAGTAAATGGTTGCAGGTCAGGGTACAGAGCTATAAGCAAAGAGCAATTTTACATCACTCAAACTCAGCATGTGCTACTATTAAACAGTGCTTTGTAGTGAAGCATGACAGCACTGATTGATTTCAATATCTACGCACACATACTAACAGACGAGATGAGTCTCATTACCTGGCACCAGGATTGTAATGGCAGTCTGGACCGCTTTGCGGATAATATTGTCCAGGGCAAACATCCAGTGAGGCTTAATCTTATGGTTTCTCAAAACTTTATTCACCTGGTGACACAAAATCAAAACACCCACTGATTAATACTTCCCAAATGAATATAGACAGTTGAATAAAAGGGAAAAGTAAGTTGGTTCTTATTTAGAAATATACAGGGCCTCCTCCCTTCTGTTTGTTTTGTGAGAAAATGCTGACTTTTATGTTTTGCCTGTTAATGCGTGAGCTTAGCATAAGCTATAACTGTACTTTGAAAAATGTGGTAATCAGCAAGTGAATATGTAATGAGACAATTGTTCTCTCAATGAGCTTTAGTGGAGTAGCTTAATTCACACATGAGGCACTGGACTCTGTTGGCGATTGGAACTTCAGGGTTTCCCAATTATTGCTATTATAAGCTAATGATGATGTGCAAGCTGCTTGCTTCACACGTTTCCCACAAGAGGGCGCCAAACAGCTCTTCATTAAGTGGATTACATAATATTTTTCACACTCAAAAGGACATGCAGCTGCCCATCCACATTGGGTGAGCAAGGCAGCATTCTTTTTCTTTGTTTTTTAGAGCACTTAAAGTCCAATGTTTTAAAGGGCCGTTTTGACACAGGTTGACAGAAATCTCATCTTAAACTGGTGAAATTAATTTCCAAATGAAAAAAGTGAATTAAGCATGTCTCGGAACCCCTTGAAATCTCCATGTCAAAGCAGAGCACTGCAGACCCTATGGTGCCGTTAACTGAATGTTAGACAAGACGTGACTGAGAAAGGGAGGTCTAGCGGGGGTGAGCGCTGACCTCAAGTGACAATTCTTGTAAACAAACTACCGTGCAACCACATAACCTCCCAGGTTCTCTCATTTCCCATGACTGATCTAGTTATAAAGCAAAACTGGTGTAAAGTTTCATCAGTGTAGTCACGTGTTGTAGTCATAAATTTAAGCTTTTGGCATTTCTTCAGTTTTAAAACCTGAAATCCTAAGTGACAGGTTTCCAAACAAGAAGTAACATGGTATTAAATCACCTGATGAATGTTTTGTGATTAAGAACAAAAGAACTTGTTACAAAGTCCCAAGTTCTAAAACGGTATTCTCTTCAGGGATTTCCATGGTGTATCGTATACTAAATGTAAAAGAAACCGCACAGATCACTTAACGACTGCATTGTTCAACAGAACAGCTCCAGTTCTTATTCATGTAAGCCTTTCAAAAGCAAAGACAGAAAATAACCTGCAACCCTAAAAAACCCCAACCTAAGGCATCTGCAATAAATGTCACTTAAAAAGACATTTTAGAACTCGCTTTTCACAGTATTATTGGATTGCTTGTACTTCTATGAAGGAGGCTATGAAAGAGTGCCCTGCATTTATAGTGAAATGCAACTTTGAGAGACAGAACTCATGACAAGAGTGTACAATCAGACGATTATTTCAAATCATTAGGACTCGAGAGTTCAGTGTCGCAGCTTGTACTTTCAATAAGTTTGCTTTTTAGCACATTTAGGCTTCACATGTTGAATGTCCCAGAAAGTTTGCCGGATGAGTCCAATTTCCTCCCCTCATTTATATAAGCTCTCGTTTGGAGTTCACCTCTACCTAGTCAGCAGATCGCTGAGAACTGCCGCTTGGCCTGTTCCTGTTAGCAGAGGTGGAAGGGACTGCCGATTTTCCACTCTTGTCCCATATTTCCACGCTCTGTCAAGCACTCGTGTCCATGTACGCCCTCCACCTCTCCCCCCTTGTACCAAGTACGGCCCCAGAGGACTAAGCGCTCTTCCTAAAAGCAAAGACTTACAGCATCCTGGAAGCCAAACAGCACCACTTGCAGCTGGCTGATGGCGGGGCTGTCAAAGTCCAGTTCCAGCTTGAGCTGAGAGAGGGTGTTGGCAATGATTTTGCGATCTGTGGTCCTCACAAACTCACCCAAGCTCACCACAAGGGTGGAAATGAGTTCTTCTTTTAGCTTGGTCTCCTCTGTCCCCTGTGTTTGGAACCAGAAGATGGAGATGTACAGTAAGGCAGTTTGCCTGGCATTTACTTGAAGCCTGGATTGAGTCAATAAGAGGGGACAAATCTTGGTTGCGTTCTGAAACAATCTACAGTTCACAGGATAAGATATGATAAGAGACAAGATCACTTTATTAGCCATAAACAATTTCTTGCATTAGGAATTCGTCTTTTCGCATTCCCCAGCTTGCTCTCCATGAGACACACAGATAGGGAGAGAAGCTTGGAGTCAGAGCGCAGGGTCAGCCATTGTTCAGCACCCCTGGACTAGAGGGGGTTAAGGGCCTTGCTCAGGGGTCCACTGGAGCAGGATTCCTCTGCCGGCCACAGGATTTGAACCAGCAGCCTTCCAGCCACAGGCGCAGATCCTTAGCCACAGTGCCACCGCACCGCCCAGTGCAGGTGCACTTTGTTTCTGGTAGCTCATCAGCCTCTTCATTTTTTTAATATTCCTAAAACATGTTTCTATAAGATGTTTCAGGAGAATTAAACCACAGAGGAAAGTGCAGAGATCGAAGGCTTCCTTACTTGTGCCAGGGCCTCCACCAGATTCTTCACCACTTTGTCCTTGTCCTCTGTCAGGATTTTGTGCAGTGTGGCTCGTCTCTCACTGTCTTTCTTCAACATGAAGATCCCAGGGTCCTTTTCTTCAGGAGATGGGGGTGCGCTGTGGTCCTCGAAATTTTCAACTGGAATGCTTAAACATAATGCCAAGACAGCGAGCATTGTTTCCCAGCTCGATAAACTTTTCTTCCAGTAGTACACTGAAACAGCACACATGTGCGGATTACTGCATTAACATCTTAACATTCAAGATCGATTTTTATTCCAGGTTTGCATGTTTCAGAGAATTTGCTGATGAAAAATGTTTGCATGGCTCTCAGTCACTAAAAACTGATGGAGCATAAACGTTTATTTTAAGAAACCCAAGCTCTTGAGGGACTGAGTCAATAATACATAATGCATTGTAACAGATGACACATGGAAGGGCTTGGCTGGAGAAATGCCATGGCAACATTTCCAGTGATAATTCTGTCCCACTAGATTTCCTGATTTCTGCACAATCCTCTTTAATTTAATGAAATGATACTTCCAGTTAAAACTATTCCATGCTTTTGGGATTTTTTTCAAATAAACGGTGAAAAAAACTTCCAAAAGTTTCTGTGCAGGGCCTTTCAAGATCCTGCCAGAAGTAAATGAAATGCCTGTGACACTGACAGTAAGTTGGAAAACTAATAAGATCATTTAACTAGCAGTGCTTCAGAATTGGTTATTTGATTTCTTGTCCATAATTTTGCTTCAAGTGTAATGTACAGTCAACATGTGGAGTTATTAAGTGTGATACAAAATAATGAAGTTTTAAATAAGAAATAATACTCAAAACAGATACCAGATAATTGGTTTCTGGGTCTGACTGAAGATTATTGGGTTCATCATTTAAAATCATGACTGATGATAACCGTGTATATTTTCTTTAATAAATCCAAAATTCAAAGATGATTTAAATCCTGTAATTTGGGCACTGTGACATACAGTATACACTTTTTTGGAATAGGGGTTATGTGAAAAAACACCCCTGAATGTATTTAATTTGCAAGTCTTAATGCATCACAACTGTGGTGTTAATTTTAATAGACAAGGAATTCTTTTACACTGCAAAGTGCTCAGATTGATGCATACCATTGAGACTTTGTGGCCCTTTTCTTTTGGAAATGGGCCTATTTATAGCATAATTCCTAATAATTCACCAATATAAGCAGCAGTGTTGATCAGAGGTCAGATCCTCACTCAGACTGCTGCAGTTACAGGCCCAGGGGTACGTGTGCCATTCACGTTGCAGAACAGTGTAAGCCAAAGAAACGATCGTAAAAAGAGGTCTGTACGAACTGCAAGAGCAATTTCCTGTACTTAATAAGTACAAAAATATCAGCAGGATTTAGAATGATCGTTACTTCAAAAATTGAGCAGTGCACGAAACATGATATTTTTTTAGCCCTGTGGGGATACCTGATTAGAATACACTGCCACAAGAATTTCTCATTTCATAAAATAATGATGAGACTTTTCATGTGGCAGTCTCTAAGTATAATTGAACGAGACATTGCTTATTTCTTCGATAGGTGATATTCCTTTACACTGAGGCGACTTACAGCTGGAGAAGAGGAAACTAAATATTTCAATGCTTTGGGTTAAGACACTCACCCTCCACTACTGGAAGCTTTTTAGGAAGTATGCATTTTATCTTGCAAGTAGCAAAAAAATCTCAGCTGCCTTCTCTTGCCAACACTTGCATTTCTTAGCTTTTTTAAATCATAGAATAGAAAACAGGCGTCTCTTCTTTACCCAAACAGTGGTGGGAGTAGGGACTATCCTTAAAGATATGGCTGAATGACATTTTTGGATCAATGAACCCCAAACAATGAAATGAGCCAAAGGGCTTTTTCTCCATTTTAACTTCTTATCCTCTTCCAGAACACTTGCAAACCCTGAACGACCAGGAAGCAGGACGAAGCCAAAGAGACCGAGCGTATCGGAAGCGAGGAAAAGCTCTGTCACGCAGTACCTCAGGTATAAGCCTCTGCTCCCTTTTATATCCCGCTCACTGAAGCACTTGGCCCTGGGCTTGAAGACGAAGGGATCCGTCTTCAGGTCGTTGTCGGGAGAGACGGAGCCGTACTCGCTGCTGCTGCTGGTGGTGTCCTCCACCACCACGGGCACTGGCAGGGAGACACTGCGCAGGTACTCTGGGGAGCAAGGCAAGGCCAGGGAGCTCACAGGCAGGAAGCTGGGAACGCCCGAAACTGAGCGGGAGAGTCAGAGCTCGCCTCCGGGGGAGCACAGTACTACTCTGTGTAGTGCAGACAGACAGACAGCAGAGTGGGGCAGCAGACAGGCCTCTGTATTTGCACCTGGAAGCTCAGGGGCTCAAATCCGTAAAGAGGCACTGCTGCTCTGCACTTGCTCAAGGTACTTCAGCTGGATTGCTTCACTGAAATGCCCAGCTGAATAAATAGGCACAAATGGAAGTTGCTCTGGATAAAAGAGCCAGCAAACGATAATAAATCGGCCATCGGTTAAGCAGGCACATGGCTAATTTTTCTTCTCTTGTACACAAATTTATAGTAACCCACCTTCTGTTGTACATTGTAGCTAGAACGAGCTGAAAGATGTTGTTGTATTGTGTGATTCGTGCCTTTCAGGTTTCCTTGGTTCTGCACAAGGACATGATCTCACCTGCTCAGCACAGAAAACTCAGCCTGACCAAATGTGCAGAGAGGCAGCTCAGTGCTACCTTCAGATAATCCCTCTGAATGTACTGTGTGGCTGTACAGCTCAAATCCTTCTGAATGTGGTTATACAAACACTTAAAAGTGGTACTACATCTTAAACAACCGTAATAATCATATAAAAACCTAATACAAGGAAAAACCAGTGATACTCACCTGATCCTGGGGAAAGAGCTACAAAAGAAAAACAGTAAAACACACAACAGTAAGCATAATGGAGACCAGCAATACAAATTAAAATAAAAAAAATCAGCAAAAGGTAAAAATGAGCTAAACAGGTAAGAGATTTTGAAAAAAAGATTTTGTGAGTAAAAAGTGGAAAGAAACCACCAATTCTACTATGCCTCTTCACACAGTGCGAAAAAGTAAATACACCACCTTAAGATTTTATGGCTCAACATATTTAGACATATCTGACCTTCACCCAGTCCTAACAGTAGATAATACGTACTTCACGTGACAAATAGCACACACAAATTCTACTCTGTCATTATTGATTTCAATATTTGTTTAAAATCAGCCAGCTTTCAATATCTTGCTGTGAAAAAGTGCCAGTTAATTAAAACCTCGAGGGGGATGGACTTACGTTTTGACAACAGTGTACAACACGACAGGATTCTTTTTATTTCTCTTAGATGTGACACTGATCTACACCTCAGCAAGTCAGTCAAAGAGGCTGTGTACGAGCCGCATCAAAGCCCTGGGATAATTTCAAGGGACAGCACGTGAACACTGCATCCACGCTAACGTGCTGTACTTGCCACACGCAGCAGGAACCAGCACGTCATTGTGCGTGGCACCAAGGGGAGAGCCCTGTGCCGAGAGGAGCTCATCGGGAAGCTGCTCCTGAAACGGCGGCGGCGGCCGCTGGGCGAGAGGCGCACCTGTGAAGCTGCTTTTCAGCCTCTTCTTCCTGCTGGTGACGGTGAGGAACTCGTCGGTCAGCAGGTCGAGGGCGGCGGCGCGCTTGTCGGGGTTGGGCTCGAAGCAGCGCAGGATGAAAGCCTTGGCCTCCTCAGACATGGACTCGGGGATCTCGGGGTGGATTTTGAACATCCCCACCTGCAGGGTTCGCGATGGGAGACAGCGCTTCGCTAAGACGTGACCGTGCTCAAACGAGAGCTCCGCTTCAGAACGCGACCCCACTGGCGGCCAGCCATCACTAAACTATTTTCTGGCATGATTGAACTGAAAGTTTAAGCTACAGAGCTGTCGTCGTCATGTACAAACGTAAGCCCTGTGAATGACTACTTTATACATTATTCAAACAAGGTAAACAAGCAGCTCTACATCACAGTTAAATAAGCTTCTTATACTCCAAATACATCTATACACCCATACAGTATGTACCTCATGTATGTGTGAAATTGCGTACTGTAGGTGGAGATACTGTATGTAAACAGCAAGTCTATCTCAATTCAAGTTTTTGTCTATCTGTAGCGTGTTCATTGTGAAACAATTGTATAGTCTTAAGAGAACTAAAACAACTTTTAAGTTACAGGTTTGGAGAAAATTTTAACTTAATGAAATAAAAAGATAAAAACTCAACAATAGGCTTGTTTAAGATGTATCTAGTTCAGACAAGTCAGGCTCTCCAAAAATGCTTATATGGAAATACTTTTTCTTATAGCATTACTGACTAAGTCATCAGAGGGCCATAAATAAGAGGATAGGATTGACGAATTAATGGAAATTAAACTTAAACACCTGAAAGAGCTTCATAAAACTTAAGTACTTTAAAGTACACTCAGATCATATTTATGGTTGGTCTTAATCATCATTCCATCCCAATTTTGTCAATTACTTAAGTCTCAAAATGTGCTTTCTAACTTTTTAAATTCACATCTGTTGAAACAGTCGGGGGCATCGCAATGCTGTGGTGGTCGGCACTGCTCTCTCCCAACGCCGGGGCCCCGGGTTCGATTCCAGCCCTGGGGTGCCATCTGGGTGGAGTTTGCATTGACCGTGTTCACGCGAGTTTTTGCCAGCTGCTCTGGTTAACTGGCTTCTGTCAAAAGTGATCTTAGGTGTGTGTGTGTGTGTTTGCGTCTGCGTGTGAGCCCTGTGAGGGACTGGCGTCCCGTCCAGGGTGTGTCTGTCTGCGTGTCTGCCCTGTGAGGGACTGGCGTCCTGTCCAGGGTGTATCCTGCCTTGTGCCCGTTGCTTGCTGGGATAGGCCTTGGCTGCCCCTTGACCCTGTACTGGATGAAGCACTGAGAAAACAGATGAATGGACGAAACAATCCGTTTCATACATTTACTTAAAACAATAACATATTTTTTTAAGCTTGTTTTATACTATCCTGGCGATACAAGACTCTGCATAATTGCTTTTACTCAGGGACGTGCCTTGCTGTGGATGGTGGGATTTACAGAGCCAGAGCAAATTTACCACTTTTATTCTCCCTTCATGAGTGCGGACAACAAAAACAGGCAGTGAGATGACTCAGGTACTGTACAGCTAGAAAAGCTAGAAAACACTAAAAGTAACACTAGCCAACAAAGCTCCATAACTAACGTTTGACGTTGTATTTAAAAAAGTGTGGCCTCACCTAATTCAGTTTATTGGTGGTATGTTACAGGATCAAAATAGTACAACAGTATAAAAACAGCTGTACCTGTCTTACTCAACTGATTTGTGTGACATGGGTGGCCTTTCAGGCAGATGTTAGCTCTGATTTCCAAAGTGTGCAGGTGCCCACGCAAATAGATACGGGTAGTTGCAACATCTTGGGTTTTACAGTTAGGCGGCTTAATCAGTTTGTGGTAAAACGACTAATGTCTGTTACTCAGAAATAATGTTTTTTTTTTAATCAGTCATTCATAGCATTAGTAGTGATTTTGAGAAGTATTAATGTATTAATAGATAAAGGGGTATCTGATCAATCTATCTTACAAATCATCCTGTTAAACCTCCTATACAAACACAGTTAACTCTCCTGGGCTACAGCTCATGAGCCTGGAGTATGTGCAGTTTCTGCTTGGACATGTGAGGTTGTTAATACCTCCTATTTCTGTTGGGGAGCAGCAAACTGTTGTTTATTTTACAAATAAACACTGAACCCGGCAGCATGTACTGTTGTGGATAACAAAACTCCTGAGGGAGCAAACTGTGATGCGAACCATTATACCTCCATCAGGAAACATTTCAGTTTTTACAAGTTTCTCCCTGAATTCATTCGAATACTCAAATTACAACGACAATTTCCATTGAAAAGTAGAGGGAATGGGAAAAATTCAAGAGCAAAACAGACACATCAAAACACCTATTATATTAGCCATTTTGCTGTTCCAGAGAAAGTAGAAGAAATTCCTTTGCAAATATAAGAAAAAATCTGTGTTATAAAGCGGTTTTCTTCAGTTACTGATTTTAAAGATTTCCTCAGGAATATTTCATATTAAATTGTGAATGTTAAAATTACAATATAAATATTCTCATTTATGTTGTGATTTTTGTGAGACTTACAGGACGTGCTTTTCTTTCCTAATCTTTCCTAATCAGCAAATCAGAGTAACATCATGCTTAAGTTAATGCAGAAGTCGATGATTCCCTTACTTATGTCAACAAACCATACCTTAAACATGGCAGCCTGTGGCTCCCCCAGCTCATAGAAAGGTGGCTTCCCTGTGGCCATTTCAATAATGGTGCAGCCCAAAGACCAGATGTCCGCAGGCTTACTGTAGCCTCTGGGGCCCTTGTCGATGATTTCTGGAGCCATGTACTGCAACGTACCTGTACAATGCAAAATTCACCAGCTCACTGCGAGTCTCCTGCAATGCTGTATAATGAAGCAATCTTATTCCGCTGAACGCTTCTACTCCCCAGTTGGAAAATGAACTGCAGGACGTAGGTAAGACAAAAGCAACGCTTTATGAATAACTGCAGAAAAGAGTGCAACCACAAGATATTTCCTTCAGTGAAAGTAACACCTGGAACTTAGTACCACTGGACCGTCCAGCACAAGACTTACCTCTGACACTGACAAACTTTTCCACCAGCAGAAAACTGGGTCTGTAGTGTCTCAGGCAATCTCTTTTAACACTGAAGACACAAGTCAGTAAAGTAAAACTAGAAAGAAAAGACCCTCCAATGTCTCCACCTGGAGGAGGAATTAAAAGTCCTTTTGGCTGGTGTCTACCTTGGTGGATGGTCCAATGATAGATTGTTACTTTTTGTAAATAATGAAAAGGCATATTCCCCCCACCAGAAAATTTTACAGAATGGAAAATGACGCCGTACTAAACATAAACAAATGGGCTTGTGTTACAATGAAAGAATATAAAAATAGCACATCTGAAAAGCTGAACACTATTGTATCTCTAAACTACCAAACACGCTAGAATGGAGCATTTCTTGTGTTCCTGTGAGGAGAATGGGTGATCTATTGACTAAAATAGATATATTTCAGCATACTGTCTGATTCTCTTTTTCCTTACCAGCAGGTGGCCCATAAATCTGTAATAATATTTCTATGTCTTGGTAACTATGAAACAAGCTACACTTGGCACTGGTCTTTGAGCAATAGACCAGACAGTATCCAGCAACATTTTTCCTGTCATTTTTCATTCTGTTCAAGGAATTGGCCCAAATTAGTACTTTCGGCACCTCTTAAAGATTCAGACAGAGGGCTGACACTGTGTCATGTGTAAATGATCCCATGCTAAAAAAAAAAAACTTACAGTGACCACAAAACCCTGCCAGTTCCTCTGTTTCCTAAATCAGAACAATAAACTCACTTTTGACATCACAGCTATGAATCAAGTTCAGATCCAAGAGGACCAGCCCTCAAACCTTTATCCAAAGAGGAACAGCACTTTGACCCTTTGACTAGCCACACCAATTCTCTGACTGACATCAAGTACCACTCACTGTTACAGGAAACCCTTGGTTTAATGGATTCACCTTAAATTTGCTTTAAAGAACTTCAGATTTACCAGACTAAATCTGCTAAAGGGGAATTTCTTCTGTAAAAGCCGGAATACCGGACATTCCCTGCAATGACGGACAAAGCCTGGTCAAGGGATAGCTAATCAGAAAACTGGCCTGGTTTACTTAACAATAGGGCAAATAGAATGAATAAGAGTTTAAATGAGATGTAAAACACATTTAAGTTAAAATATTGTTGAAGTACATGTACTGAACTGTGAGTTAATCACAGTTTGATATTGTTATGCAATACGTTATGTATTTACAAAACACAGCTACAGTACAGTTATGTACAGTATTGTATACACAAATTAGACGTATATAAGAAATCTCAGAAAAATAATAAAACAATAAACAACATCTTTTGTACAAAACACACCTGTAAATAGGTCTAAAAGCAGGAATTTGAATGGTGCCCTATAGGGGAGCCTATAGGGGAAGTCGAATTGCTAAGAATAGGTATTTTGTGCTTTGAACGTTAGCGAATTGTATTTGCGAATTTTAAAAAGTAGATTTATGACACAAAATAAAGAACCATATATTTATGAGAAAAAAAGGCACAGGAACAATTTCCTTTGACTGACGGCACAAGTCAGTAAAGCAAAAAAGAAAGAAAAGATCCTCCTACTGTATATGTTTATACAAAAAGAACACACCAGCACCCTCCTTCGTCTACGACTCATCAGTCAGGGAAAGGAATGAAACTCCTAGCCGGTTCTCTGACAGGTGTTCTGTGCTTTGCCATGAGCGGCACATTTTGTGCGCCTGTGGCATTAACGGCAAACCAGAAAATCCACATTAGAGATCTGATACCATTAATTCCTCCTCTCTCTCTCTGTGTCTGTAGCAACAGGACCGAAAACAGGATTTACAAGAAAGTAACACTACAGTAACTGCTAACAAAATAGGAAGACTTCAAACTACCAGAGGAAACATCTTCTGCATCCCATACATGCAGAATGTAGCAAAACTCTTCAAGAAATGCTGGTGTGAGAGCCATAATTTGGCAGGAATACATAAATTTTACAATTTAGTGTTAAAAGCAATATTTAAAAAAATTGCAATAATATATTTGAGATGGTAAAGTGTAATCAACTTTATATAAATATAAGTACGCAATGTTAATATTGCTGCCCATTTAAAGAGTTAATATAGCTTCTTATATCACCTACAGTATATTCTCTGGTAAATTAATGAACACCCTCTGATCCAATTTTCTTTCTAAAGCGAGTGTTCATTCTTTCATGCTTCTTAGTCATACTGATCTGACAAAGTCCATTATACAGACATCAGAAGGGAGTAATTTAACAATATTCGATCTGAGCTGACCTTCTGAGTCCTCGCTCTTCCTGCATTCACTGCTGACAGCAGCCTACAATCTGCCAGAGTGAGGGGAACAAAAGAACATGCACTTTGTAGGGGACAGGGATGCGCTACTGCGCACTATAAAACATTTCTTTCCAGATTTCCACAAAGAGAATGTGTCAAAGTGCTAAAGTTTCGAACAGCAAACCATCTGTGGAATGATGTTCCTCCCTTGGGTTATCTATGTAATTTCAGTAGCTACTGTAGCATTGAAATCTCCCGCTACCCTACAGCATTAGGGCTGTTAAAAGCAGGAATATTGCTCAGTTTTGCCAACTACAGGCCTGTATACTGTCCAGATACAGTAATACTGCTGTTCACTAAATCCTACCTGTGTGTGCCAGTGCACTGAGGTGTCGTCGAGAGGAGTCTGAATGGAGTTAATGCCGAGGGCTAATGTTTGTTTGACAGCACTGGCACTGGAGGTGCAGAAATACCACAGCTATGAATAATCACTTTAACAATGAAGGCACACCTACAGCTGAGGACCTCATGAGGTTGCAAGGACAAAAGCACAAAGCAAATAATCATTATTTAACTGGCAATAGGCAAAGGCACTTTTAATCTTGAAGTTATGAGATGAAAAAACACATGACGTAACCATGTAAATAGCAGTAACAGAATGAAACGCTAGATTATTCCTTGACAATTGCATTAATGTGTTTAAAATGTGATTATTCTAAAATGAATCTTAAAATGACAAATTAAATAGTACACATTAAGGATCCTAGAAACTCAATTTTGTATGAAGCCGATTCGTTTTCTTGGGTGGGACAATGGGATATTAAGGTACTGACTCCTCTGTCTGATTTTGATTTTCAAATAGCCTTTAATTCTAAATGTATTATTATTTAGAACGAAGTCTAGTTTTGAAAACTGTTTTCTCATGTCCAAGCATTGATTTTTTTTGTGTGACCTCCCACATTCTGCCTTTAGTGCTGCTGTTTCTGTATTCACTCACTCTGGCCTCCATGTTTTCCCTCATGATCCCGGTGTTGACAGCCTGGTACAGCTGCACCGGCTTGGCTCCCGGTCACTACAGGAAGGATGTGCCATCCGGTCACGCACGCGGCTCGCAAAGACCTTTTTTACCGAAACTCCAGGGGAGCTGTAGCAGAGCTGCTACATACCTGTGAAGGTTTCTGTGCAAGGGTTGATTCCAGCAAGCCTTTTGGAAGTGCCGAAATCAGAGATTTTAAGAACTCCGCTGTATGTGTTTATCAGCACGTTGTCCCCCTGCAATTGCAAACAATGTGGACTGAAAACCAGACCAGCTTTGTATAAGAAGGAACCAGCAAACCCAACTTTGTGCTGAACCTTAAAGAACCAGCTTTTTGTTCCCAATTATACAAAATTAAGTCACGGTTATTTATATCCGTAGATGAGACCATAACAAACGACACATTTTTCAAAATAAGAACATTGCTGCAAGCAGAATTTTGACATTTGTTCAGCAAAAAACATGAATATGTGGCTTTCTTAAAACAAAACACTGATTGCTCACATTGATATTTGTAGTCAATATTAATTCCTTTTTGCTTAAAATTAAAAACTAACTTTCTAATTTTTTTACACACATTTGCCCATGACTGCAGAAGCCCGCTGCGATTGGCATGCCTGCGATGTGAAAGTGTGTAATTAAACAACTTCATCCACACCATTCGGAAGATGTCCTTTGTTAACCAGTCAGGAAACAGATTTAAGATTTATAACACGTAGAGAAGTAGAGAATAACCTTTTTAGCTTGGAGGACACTTGACGAGCAGTGAAGAGCTACAGGTTCACAGTCCTATGATGGTCAATTTTTATACCCCTATCAGGTTTTAAATACAAACACAGGCGTTGCCCCTTGGCTGACGGCACAGTATATACATGGCCTAGCTCACACGTTTGTTGTGCACAACAATCCAAAGGTGCAACACATCAAGCTGCAAAACTGCAACTCAATATTAGCCGAAAGCCAGTAATCAGAAGCCCTGGCGATGATGAACGAGCTGCCAGATCTCATGACCAGACCTTTGATTCAGAGGCTGAACAAGCAGCTCAACCACCAGGACCAGTGGTCACCCTCCCCCACCCAGCCCACAGGGGGTGGAGACCAGCGCAGCATGTCTCCCCCTCCAGTCAGGCGCTACAGTGGCCACGGGACCACAGCGACACGCGGCTGAGGCTGACACTGGGCTGCTCCCACTCCTCCTCCTCCTCGTTCTCATACTCAGAAAGATTAACGAGGAAACTGCTTCCATGTGTCGATGGAAGCAGTCTGCTCTGCCAGCTGCTGTAATACCTTGATATCTCTGTGTGCAATCTGATTGTCATGCAGATACTTCAAGCCTTCCAGGATCTGCTTGGTGTAAAATCCTATAGTCGCCTCATTGTTCTTTAAAGGCCCCCATTTGGATCGGAGAAGTGCCGAGAGGCTTCCTGTGATTGAGAAACACGCGTTACCACATAGGAGGAACCAAACCGAAGATCTGTTCATACGCTTTCTTCTTCCATGCAGTACTAGCTCACTTGGGATAGGTTTCTACACCCCTTGACTGCATAACTAGGAACGGGGACTGTAGTGACAGAAAAAATGGCATCAGCTGAGCGCTTGTGTTGAAAGCTGTCTTTATTCATATGCGTATGGAAGTCTTGCGTCGTGTGGCACAAAACTTAAAGACAATGCTTACAGCGCTCTTTTATACAGTGAAACAAATGATACAAGACGCACTCCCACATGACCCTCTGCTTGCACTGTGGCTATACCGTATATGGTCATTCTAAAAAGCTGACCATTACATATATATTCTTTACTGACGGCTTGCGTGACAAGCAGCCCCTTCAGCTGAATAGACCATTTGTTCCAGGAAGGGTCACTTGGGCATTTCCCTGAGAACTATATCAGCTATGCGTAAAGACATCATGTGGCTACGTTATCTTTTAAAACCAGACATTCTGGGACGGATTTAGTAAAATATAAGTAAAAAGATACATAGTTAAGAAGATCTAATACATACTTTTAGTTAATTCCCTCAGTGACAAATGCATTTGTACCGGTTAAGCCATTTTCACAGAAGTTCAAAAGGACTTAGACCGAATTCAGGACTGAGCAAACACCAGGAGGATGATCTTTAATGTGGCTATGTGTCATGCAGGCACTGAAATAATCAAGCTTAATGGGCCAAATGACCTCCTCTAATTCATAAGCATTCTTAGATAGTTAGGGGGAAAACAGTTTCAGCAGTTAAAATTCCTCTATTTGATCTGTACATAATACGACACTTACAGTGTTTCAAAACTTTAAAACAATACTTCAAATGTAGATTTGTTGAGTTTTCCAAATCTGGCTAGTGGTGTAATGCTTATGCACTCAAAATTAATTTTCTATAGTGCCTCGTTTTTAAACATAATTTACGAAATATGCCTACACAGTCCCAAAATTAACAAAAGTAGTCAAGATACATTTCCGCAACTTAAGCGTCTCCATGGTGACAAATCTGAACCAGGTTACCGGGTGACTGCATGAACCAAGGCAGCATGACTTTTCGGCCAGGCCTCTCATGCAATAAGGTCTTGAAACACTTAGAAACGGGAGTCAACCACTAACCTCCAGGCACTTGCTCCATAAAAATTTTGATGAAGCCATTTTCACTGATGGAGCCCAGATACTGGACTATATTCTTGTGTTTCAGGTGTTTATGAAGCGCAATCTCCTCATGGAGAGGTTGAGAATACCTGGAAATGAAAAGAAACTGAACTAACATCAAGCCTGACATCAAAACACATTCCTGGTGGGTTTTAAAAATCATTTGAAAAAAACAAAACGGTGAAAACCATTAAAAAATTCATCCTTGAAGAAACACTAAGGTTCATAGGAAAGAGGAAGAGCTCCTCCACAGATTCTCAATGCTTTCAACCTGCTGCACTTTCACCGTGACGTACAATGGCTGATGTTAAGATTTGGTCTCTAGTATACTTACTAGATAAAGTAACTTTAAAGTTAATTTTAAAGTTTTAAATCATCATACTGGTCATTGTTATATGAAAACCCCTGTGTGCTGTGGTCAATTCATAGAACCAGGGTGGATATTTACAAAGATTATTATATTAGTGAAATATCCCAGTGTAACATTATCCTAAACATGAAACACAACATATTTATAGTTTAACGTTATTCTGTGATTGTTCATATTTACCACTGACATTAATAGAAGAGCTACTACATTTTATTTTATTTATCATTTATCTTTGTATTTTGGAAATGTTGATTTTGAAAGCAGGACTGGGACCTGCACTATAAGGTACTACAAACCAACAACTCAGTTTCAGAACATATTGGTTTCATTTGTGGATTCAAAAATATTATTTCACAACTATGCTCAGCAGAGGAGGTGGGAAATGAAGAAGAGGTGGAAGCACTTCTCTGGTTGCTAAGCAATTATTTTCCTTCAGTCTAAAGCAGCATCCCTTTCAAAATAAAAGGCACTGCAGACCTGGTGGTCTTCAGGGTGATCTAAACTATCGAAGAAAGTGGTCATTATGCTGGAAGTTCCCTAGAATTAAAGGTCATCCACAGAGCATGGTGAAAACGTGTCCACCTTCTCGATCTTCAGACAGAATGTTTAATCTCACATTTGTTTAAAAAAAACCCTACTTTAACTCACACCTCTTACCATAACTGCAGCACTTCATGTGTCTATCAAAACAACTTGCCTGCCTCATGTGTCACCCGTACACTGGCCATACCCTGGCTGAAAACATCTCTGCAAGGAGACATGCTTTCTCTGAGAATTTTGCCCAGACGTTTGCGGGTTTGGCCTATACAGTGAGGCCAATGTTAACAACCTGGGCTTTGTTGCTCAGGGCTCACCTGCTGTCCCTCTCAGGGATCTCCTTGATGGCCAGCCTGACCTGGTTGCTCACGTCTCTGCCTGCGTATACAACTCCATACGTCCCCTTTCCCAGCACCACCCTCTCTCCATTCTCGTCGTACTCGTAGTCGTACTGCAACAGCAAGCGTCGGGGGGGGGTCAGACAGAGGCGAGATTTAAACATTTCTGTTTAAGCATGTGGTGAACAACTGGGAGCCAACACGCCTTCCAGCAACATCAGGTGCTACCTTCAAGTCTTTCAGCAAAACCCCATGTACTTTCCAAAATATTCCACAACAGATATGAAATACAAAGTGCTTATTAACGGAGTAAAACTTTGCTGTGTGCATATCAATAAGAGCACCAGAGAAGTAACAGATAAGACAATGTAGCCCTCACACTGATCCAATATTTAACTGCTTAGATATCAAATAAACCGATAAAAACCTGATAAAGACTCTTCTGGAATTGCCTCAACATGTGCAGGTTATAGATAGATGTAGCCAAAATATGCTTATTGGAAAAACAGAATAGGATAGGAGAAAAACATATCCTTCCCATGACCTATTAAATCCACATGCTGACAAAAAAAAATGTCTTCTTTTCCTGAATTCATATTTTCTGTCCACAATTATTAGTCTTGGGGTTGCCACTGCATGTGTGATAGAATCTTATCCGCTGGACTCGCCCAAACCACTGACCTGTTGTCTCGGGAGGATCAGGCAAATGTATAAACAAGCCACAGGTGTTTATAGTCTAAACAAGCAGGTCAGAAAGACTTCCCCCGTTTTCAGTGTTATTCCACTCCCTCTGTAGTTGCATTCCAAAAAGATAGTGTGCTGTGCCACACACTGCGTTGTAGCAAAAGAAAAACCAAGGTGCCCTTTTCAACTAGCCTTTCCCATTTTTATATATTTATAAATTTATATATGCCCACATTAATATGAAGTAAAAATCTGAGGAAACCATAGGAGTTTTGTCCTATAACAAAGTCAAAATGATAATCGAACTGAAATACATCGATATCAGGACCGTTTTTGACCAGTACGTCAACTTTATTAATCCCAGACAGGCCAAAAACAATAATCCTAATCATCTAAAACATATAAACAATGTCTAAAAAAAGTGAAAAAATGGTGTCCACCACTTTTAGTCTCTATGCATTTTTATTTACTATAAGGTACCTTGAGCACAAAATACAAAACCGGACATGTGAGAAAGATGAACTGCCATCACGAGCAAGTGCTCATCGCAAGACCTGTTTTTACCTCCAGGGAGTCCGTCTCGCAGTCTCCCTCATCTGGACCCTTCCCGGATTCCTCAATCATGCCGTTTACCAACTTGCAGAACCTGCAAAAAATTCGGAGACAGTCACCTGAGAGGTGCAAGGCTCAGGGCTGATGATTCATTAGTTTGGGGAAATACGATACATGTGTGTTACAGACTCATGGCTTATCTGCTCCTTATTACAAAAATGTTGCAACATTTTTATTTACAACATTTATCTGAGAAAGTGAGAAAAATAAGCAGCGTAAAGAAATAGGCAAAATGCAAACCACTGTATTTTCATGCATAATATGAAACTAAAGGCTAGAAAAAAAAGCTCTTCATAGGAAGGTTGAACTTAAGGTTTTTCTTAGGATTGTTTTGTGTCTTCTTACAGCTTTCTTCTTTGCTTTTGTCACCCAGTTGTTTAAAGAATTTATATTTCTGGATCATGACAGAGGTTTAATTATTCAATGGTTCTATAAGTACATAAGGTGGGAGGTAATGGAAATGATTTAAGTAAAAAACTGCAACCGACCTCTTACAGTGGAGCTCAGTGCAAAAGTAGATCTGAAAGTCTTCAGCATTGTGCAGAATGTAAAGAAAGGAACTACGTTCATCACATTTTGACACACTGTAACAAAAGAAATTTAAAACCACAGTCATCCATTTGTCCTAAAAATACTCCTTCCTTTTTACAGTGGACTCCTCATCTGCTCCTTTCCAGAGACAGTTTTCAAACCTTTACAAAACTTATTCTACAGCACACCTATTTTCACGGCCGTTCCTATAAGCGCTTCTGTAAAGTTCCTTTAATAAAATAAAACATACAGAAGCAAACATTTTCAAAACACTAAATTGTTATTTAATGAGCTCGTCATAGAAGAATGTATTGCTAAAGGAAATTACATCTTGGCTTGTGCAAACCCATCTAGCAGGAATCAAACTTGGCACAAGTCTAAAAGCCGACTTAAAGCATTTTATCTTTTATCTATTGCATCAAGATGCGTCCTAAAAATCTCCATTCTCCGATTCAGCTTTTCTCGGAGCAACATCTATACATGCAGCTGTGGTTATTTGTTAGCACTTTTAACGTTTACAAGGCTTGAAGTCCACAAATTCGTTCTTTAAGGTCAAGGTGGCATTTTCTTTCCTGATGATGACAAACAGCACTGCAGTGTATTTCACTCTCCTGTGTTTTCTTTCCATTGTAAAGAAACTTCTTCTCTTGTGGCATTGCTGCTGTAAGGCTTTTGGTACCTTGCTGCACCTTGTAACCTTATCATCTTCTTTAATTAAGCCTCTTACAATGACCAACATCACAAGTCCCATCCATGCATTTTGCAATCTGTTACAATGTCCGCTGTATGTGACTAGTTTATTTTCTATGCGTAACATGGAAAAAGCCGTCAACATAAGCAGGCAATCGTTGGCTCCAGTTCCCAGTTTTCAATTATATTTACTGGATTTTATATGTTCAAGAAATCAGAAACAAAAACTGCTTCACAGAAGCTCTTCCCCACCCTGAAGCAGTTCCACCAGTCAGGCGGTATTGCGCAACCCTCAAAATCCACTTCCCGACAGGATTAACCAAAGGCCTGGGAGGAGGAGGACAGCCTCAAACCACACCTGCTTTCGCTCACCTGGGCGCAGGTAGCAGGTTTGGAGAACACCTGTTTCGGCACTCCCTCCTGCACCCCTTCAGCACCTCACAGGAACTCCAGCTTGTGTGTCAGGGGGTTCGATAATCTCATCCTGACAGTCGGGCTTACAGTCTTACAGGTAATCCATCTCACCCACTTATTATCTAAACCTCTCATCTCAGTGGACAATCTTAGTGCGAGGGTACAGTCGCGATTATCCGACCTTTGATTATCCGACATTCCGTTTTATCCGACATAGCAATCAACATGCTACTGTATATACATACATGCTATGTACTGTATGTGTGCCCAGGAATAATATTTTGCCCAATCCCATGCTGCTTTGTCTCTCAGTGCGTCAGATACTGCCACTGACGTAGCTTCGCTTGCTCGTTTGCGCTCGTATATATAATTTTATTTAAACATGACAAGTGCGAAGAGAAAGAAAGTAGTTCTTTCCATGGAACTGAAGCTTGAAGCGTTAAAAAGACTAGACAAAGGTGAGTCAATCCAAAAAAGTGCACCTGAATTCGGCGTGGGACGAGTTACAGCTGGTGACTGGACGAGGAAAAGAAATGAGATAGAAAAGTGGTGCTCTGATCGGGTCTCAATTAAAGGACTGAGGGACAGACAAATAAAGAAATGCGACTATGAAAAAGTCAGTGAAGTTTCGTTCTTGTGGTTCATGCAGCAAAGGGATAAGGGCGTGCCTATCACAGGTCCGATACTTCAAGAGAAAGCTCAGATTTACAGTAGATAAATAAACCAGATTTCAGACTTATACCACACTTCCATTAATCTATGATTTGTCTATTCAGTTTCCACATTATCCGACATTTTCGATTATCCGACACGCTATCGGTCCCGTTTAGGTTGGATAAATGGGACTCTACTGTATCACTTAACATGAATCTGCCGAACGGTCCAGACAGGCCAAATGGCTTCCTCTCCTTCATAGACATTCTTGCATAATAAAATGACTCCACACAATATCAAAACCTATAATTCGCCTAATGCACACATTTCATTTAATCTTCATACCCTTCCCGATTTAAAACTAAACATTTTTCAATTGTGAGCTGGAGTTTATAAACAAGAACAACAAAAGCAGAAACAGATACCAAACACATCTCTGTACTACATTATTCTGCTCATATCACAGATTCAGTAAATGAGGAGCTGAAATTAACTGAGATACTAGAGTTTTAAACTCTGGACCTGCTTTGCTTTCTGGGCACACAAGAAATTAATTTACTAACCTTCTGAACACATAGTAGTGCCTACATGTAAAGATTTCATTAGTGGTGCTACCGCAGTTTTGTCCTCTATTTATTTGACTCTTATCATATGGTGTTAGGAATAAAATAGCATCTGCATTCAGCATAATCTGTCATGCTCTCTTACCTCTCTGTTCCCTAAATATTTGGAGGGAGAGTGGGTATAAACACGTAGGCGTTTCCTAGCAACAAGGGGCTGAGAATGATCAGAGCTTCTGGATATATTCCTTACAGGCAACAGCTCCTGCAACTTCCTTTATGTCCAAACTCACTGAAGGTTAAGCAGTCAGACGTGTTTTGTGAGCTTTGAAAAATGAGTTAATTAAGTTAAGTATAGTTTTAATCACAGGACAAAGGCTCTCTGTTTCTCTGACTCCCAACTCACCCATTACGAGATCCAGATTTTGATTCAAACAAAACATGGAAAAAATATATACGCTATAGCAATATATTCTTGGCACAACTGGCATGTGGTGAATGTTACTGCTAAATTCACTCAACATATCAGTTTGTAAATTTCCATAAACCTACTTATCATAAAATTAATGTCCGCTCAGAATAATTAACTTTTTAAAAATAAAAATACTACTGGTGTTTTTAGATAAAATATAAAAATATTACTGGTGGTCAGTAATTCACTAACCTCACACCACGGATGGATGCAGCAGTGAAGTTCCACTCATGAATACCTTTCTGCTTTTTCAGTTCAGAGGCAAAACAGGAAAAAAAGAACGTAAAACAAAATATTTAATACTTTCATACAAGAAACTAGAACATAGTTGACACAGCTACATTTAAGTGCTATGTGCAGCATCCAATTCCCACGCTCCTGCCCTTTTTAATGCTGATCATTTCTCTACCATCATGGTTCCCAATAACATAAAATAATGTATGAAAGGAATGTAAAGAATGCTTACAGGCCACCAGTCATGTTAACTAATAATAATACTGCTAATATGCTCTATATTTCAAGAAAGGGAAGCATTTGAGTCTGACTAATATCGGATCTAATATTTTTATCGCTCCTATTACTAGATAAGCTACGTATTTACCGTGAAATAGCAAGGCAAGGAAAAAACCATCTTGGAATGCATACCTCATGTTCTGAACTATTCTTTACCTTAACCTTTGAGAACAGTTTTGTACTGCACATACAACTACAGGTACCACTCTCTACTCTCTAGCAATCCAAGGACTGGACCAGTGGGACTGAAACCTACAACCCAATGAATAATAAGGTCTGACAACCTGTACTAAATTCATCAACGTTTCCTTGAAGGCTCCCTATTCTATAGAACTCACAGGATGTTCTGAGCCCATGGAAAACGTTACCTAAAGACTGAATATGATACTTAAGAACCTGTTTTACTAGCAACATATGGAACTGTATCATACCTTGTCGTCTGGATGTACGTGCCAGATGGACACGGTCTTCACCTCAGCATCGTTGTTGATGGACAAATACGAAGGCTGGTAGATCTTAGTAGGTTCTAGTATTAGAACCTAGATTGATCAAAAAAGAGAAATGTCTGAAAGACAATACTCAAAGTACCGTTTTGTTTCTTAAATATAATGTATTATCAAAGACAAAATAGCCTACTGCAGCAATGGGAAAAAAGTCTTAACACGCGCCCAAACCTTATGCGTCGGTAATTCATGTCAACTCTCAGGAGTTGACTACTACACCATTGCTCGGATGCTGTATGGAAAGTTAGAACAGCTTGAAGGAAATAAAGGCAAAACAGTAGTTGACAATTTTATGATTTCTCTGATAAAATATGAAGATGTATGATTGAAATTGTACAGAACACCCTTGGGTTTGGTACAAGTATCTGACTTATAATAAATCATTTCATCATAATTTTATAGGTATTGGAACAAGTTCCCAACTTGTTCAGAAATACCGTCCTCTTGAATAAATGCAACTCACCCCCGTTCTCATTAAAACGCTATTTAAAGTAGAGGTCTACTGCCTACATCAATGATTCATGCATGCTTCAGTTTGTTTGCTTTATCATTATGCATTATGAACACAATTCTGAATGTTTTCATCTACAATTTTCGATCTATTGTTATGAGCACAATTCCGAATGTTTAATATACAGTACTTACATATGATACTGCTCTTGAAAAGGCATTGTAAAGATGTCTTAAGAACAAAATGCTTCAGTACAAAGCTCGATCTCAATCAATAGAATATTTACAACTCACCAGAAATCACCTTTTGTGTTTTTTACACCTTTTCAAATTGGCTAAATACCACATTTCTGAAAATGCATATTACAGTACTGTAAATAAGAAAATGCTTCGGGGAAAATAGACATTAGAGAAATGTTGTGTATTGTTTACAATAACTAAAACACCACAATAATTGTATCCTTTCATTGTCAATCTTGGGGGATTTGTATAACCAATAACTCTACATTTTTCAAAGAGATGCGCAGAATTTACCTATCATAACATTAACAAATGCGAACTCTCCCACATGTAAGAAGTGGCTTTGCAATGTACATATTCTTTGCTAAGACGTCTCTACAGCAGCATTTGTTACAGTAAAATGTGAGAGAAAAGTCCAATGATACTTTTGACACAAACGATACCGAACATTACACATTATGCACAGTGAAACCCACAAAAATATACACTTTCAGGATTAATTTGTCAGGTTTTTTTTTTTTAAATCGACCACACCAAACCTACCTATTGAAATACAAAGAGAGCGCACTAGCTACAGAGGGAGACAGAAGGAGCTGAGTACTTACTGGGAAACGAACAGAGGAGACATCCTTCTTTGTGGCTTCCACTAGGAAATCCATCCAGAAGTCCACCAGTTCCTGTTTAGGGCCTGGTTGCTCTCCGGAAGGTTTTTTGAAATGCTGATAAATCAGTATAGTCTCCACTAAAGATCCCAGATACCTGAATTCCACAGAAACAGAAGCTCAGTGATACACAAAAAACACAGAGCTGCTCAATTTCTCCTACTGATTGCCTCAAAATCTTCACCATCACTGACTAGGATGTGACTCGCTGTTCAAACAACTTACAAAAAAAAAAGTAAATGCTTATATTTAAGTCAAATTAGGTTCTTTAGGTGTGGATGAAGAAGACTTCACACCTGAAGAATCTCCACATCCGAAACGTGTTTCTTTTCTTCTCTTTCCAGCAGGGAATCAGCCTTTACCTGACCCTTTGCACCCTACGCATGCTGACGCTATTTCACCCTACTTCAGCATGTTTCTACAATGTCTTTTCTGAGTTTAAGTGACTTTTAATGTTGAAATCTAGTCAGCAGTAAGTCTTTCCCTGCCTCAGAGTGTTCCATTTTGCATTTTGTACAAATTTTATTTCGGGTTTTGCTTTGTAAATTGACAATATACATGGCCAGTTATGAATACTTTCATAAGCTTTTTTTACATCTTTTTTTCACCTCAGAAATATCGCTAGACTATGCCCTATGTGATCACTAAATGTGGCTGAAAAGCTGATCAACACATTTGTGTTCTCTCGAATTGACTACTGTAATGCTCTACTCGCTGGGGTATCTAAATCTACATTGAACAAACTGTAGTATGTCCAAAATACATCAGCCAGAATCTTGACCAGGTCTAGTGCAAGTGATTACATTACTCCTATCCTGGAGTCCTTTCCCAGGCTTCCTGTCAAATTCCATGTGAACTTTAAAATCCTCATGCTCACCAATAAGGTTCTGCATGGCTTGGTACCTCTATTATCGCCAAACTGCCCACCACGCAACCTTCGCTCAATTCGCAACAATTCTGGTCTCCTAACTGTCCACCAAGCCCGTCTACATTGTATGGGTGACAGGGCCTTCTCCTGTTATGCCCCCAAGCTCTTGAACTCTCTGCCCAAGGATATCAGAGAGTCACCCTCTCTAAACTCCTTCAAATCCAGACTCAAAACCTTCTTCTTTAGTAGAGCCTTTACTTAACTGGTTCTATTCTTCACCCCTCTGCTCCTACTATACTTAGCACCACCATCCACAGTCTACTCTGTATATTGTTAATGCGTTTTATCTTGTGTATTCTTTTTATTTATTGTTGTTGTTGTTGTTCTGTAAAGCGCTTTGAGAAGCTGCCTTTAAAGGCACCATATCAAATAAAGTTTATTATTATTATTATTATAAGCTAATGGTTTATGCATTACTTCTCTTTATAACCAACATTTCATTAAGGTACATGTGTCCCCATAAAGTAAACCACGATCATATATATATGTGTGTTTATAAATATATATTGCCGTTTGTACGACAACGTTCCTTCCGAGTACATATGGACTGTAAATATTTGGATTTGTTTGTTTTTACAATAGAAGTGTGTGGTACAAATACTTGGTTTATATACAGTACATATATCTCGCACAAGCCTGGCTTTCTCCTTACCACACAGGGGCCTTGAGTTTAAAGAGCCTCTCGGAGGCTTCCACCACCTTCAGATTGTCGCAGGCCAGGATACTGGCCCCCAGGAAGAACCCCACGTCCCAGTAGCTCTGAAGCTTGTCCAGGCTTCCGTTTTTACCAAGAAGGCTACTGAGCTTCATGCCTGCAGAGGGGAAAAAAAAAAAAACACTGCCACTGTCATTATATTGTGGGTATCTGAAAATAAGTACTTATGCTTCTTGCTAACCGAACCGAAGGAACTTTAGCCAAAAGGCAGCTTGTCACGTACTTCAATTGTGTACTGAATAGCATTTCAGAACTTTGCATAGTAGCTTCACATAATAAGACCATACTGTATATAGTCATACTTTAAGTAGTGGGAGTGCCTTTTAACTTGTTTTGATTGCACTGTATAAAAGATAAAAGTTTTGCTGTTTTTCTTTGAGTCTGGCTTGCAAGAGCTGGGCTCTCATATGCATATGTAATAAAGAAGACTTCTGCTACACAGACACCCGAATTGCTGTCATTTTGTGTGGCAAAACAAGTGGAAATAAACACAACAGATCTTTTCTTCCCTTGTTTTGATGAAACAGGATAATTTTCCCCCATAGTTCAGCATCCAAAATGATATGAATGTAATAAACTGAACTAAAGATGTACATTTCTTGAAAAAATAATCTAAGGTCATTAAATACTACTGCAATACAGTAAATAGTGTTTCTTTATTGTACTGGCCAGACTACAGGACACATGCGACTATACATATATGTTCATGAAGCTTCAGATAAAGGACAAGAGAATCTGACCAAAGACCAGAACCGGCTACACAGTATTTTGTGCACTGCGGTTACGTTTTTGTCATTCAAGTGTTTTCCATTCCAGAGAAACTGTAGGAAGCAAACAGTTTCCCAAGACGATGTATAACGTGCTTTAATGTTATAATATGGCTCTCTGACAGAGCAAATCATGTTTTTGATTCTGTTTTTATCTTAATTTATCTGCCCTGACAGTTCTTTCTTCCTTTCGTTGGTTATTCTCAGTATAAATGCTCACACAACCTTTAATAGTGGATTAGCAGCAAGAAATGAAACAAGATGACAGCAAACTGCATGATCTGCTATACCTACTGCACGGCTTCTCACAAAGACACTCAAAGTTCATTCTTAAACTCAAGTCATTTGGTGTGTAAGGCTGATGAACATACAAACCAGCCTCTGTTTGATGCCCAGTAATTAAGGGATTTCTTCTTATTGCAAGCACTCATCTTCCTACATTTTGTTGGTGCATAGGTCTCTGAGTAATTAAGTTTGTTTTGTATTTTATAACAATTAATATATAACAGTATGTTAAAATGCACATATGTTCAGTGCCTTGTACATGACCCTGTACCCTGAAACAGTCTTTCTCACTGTCGCTGTATGCTGATAATTACCAACTTTTCGAAGCTCAGAAGATGTGTCAAATTGGTGTCCTGCTGCCAGGAGAAGGACCGCATAGTTGATCCCCGAATGTAGTGTTGGCTCCGATTCAAATCCCCTCTTAAACCTGGGAAAAAGACACTTTCAAGTGAATTTCTGCATAAGTGTTTAGAAAAGTCTTCGAAGCTACAGTAGAAGGGGCTTCTCTTTGCCATCCAGCCTACCGCATTAGCAATTAATCCCAGATGATTTACTGTAGAAACTGTCACAGAAACCATTAAAATGAACCACGCACACCAAGCCACAACTTTCAGGAGCATCGTTTTCAGTACGTGGGTTGTCCTTCCTAAAGGACAAGTTTGGTTTCTTCTCTCCCAAACTAAGATACTGTATATTAATATCATAGGTTTTATAATAGCAAAAAACACTACTGGAGACAAATTTTGTGCCTAAAATGGCTTAGACTTTTCACAGTTGTTTACGGTAAGTGCCTCTTGTTTAGTTAAGCTCAGAATCCACATGAAAACCAGCACCTTACCATTGGGCACCACTGTCTCTGCTGTCCGTGTCAGTGAAGTGTGAATCTATAAACATGTCCTTGTAGATACGGCCAACCAGGCAGTACATGTCAGAAGCCACCTGCTGCTCCGCTGACTGCACGAGGGGGAGCATTATCGACAATGCTTTCTCTCTGTCCTCGGGCAGATTTCTCCTGAGAAAGAGAGAATCTGTGTTTCTATTCAATTTGATACATAAACTTCCTATGGCTAATAAGCACTCAGAATTAGAGGGCATCCTTTAGTCCCTCCATATTTCAACCGGTTAAATATACTGAGTAAATATTTATTTCTCCTTTTAACACTAAAGGTGTTTCCAAGGTGTACATGCGCCAATTATGCGATGGTGATCAGCAGTTCTTTCACGAAAAAAAATATTTTACACTGAACACACAGCTGGTGTGATGTAATAACGGCTTCAAAATAATTCTGATTAATGTTCGGTGGAACATGTTAAGTTTTACACAAATATGTGTAACAGCCACATATAAAACAAATAAAAAGCACAGGATTTCTTCAAAATTGAACAGATGTAACATTATTCACAAATCAAAGACTGTACCTTTGTCCTTCTATATGTGTGTTGCAAACCAGGTAGGGTGAAAAGTTTTTTTATGTTTAGTGTGATCACTATTAGAGGAACAATTTCAAGAAACTTTCATTTTGCTCTTTTATAAAATCGAGGCCATCTATTCGAGTGTCTTCTAACAATCTGCATATCCCCGCTGTAACATGTCATTGATCCTCCATTGCACGGTTGATTCCTACAGAAGTCCACAGAAATCACTCCTATGATTCATGTTTGAAACGGATCTGTAAGACTATGATGTCTTTAACGCGTTCCTTCTTCGGTACTCTGCACATGCATGAACGCATGACTGTCTTGCATGTCAGCCTACTGTCACATCAGTTTTACACGTTATTGAACGTTATATCCAATTGTCTTTACTGTTGATAGCAAGGAAACATTTTAATATCGATACTGACAGTGATTTCAAGGCCTGTATTCATGAAAAGATTACACGAAAATGAGCTATTAATGACACACTCACACTACAAATAGTTTAAATTAAACATGCTGTACACTTAGAAGTTATTTCACCTTCATCAATTTCACCTCTTCTACGGATGTTTAGAAAACACAGGTAACACAAACGCGTTGTGAATGCTCTGTCAACCTGAACAGACAAGAGACTGCTCATTTCTTCCGACAGCTGAAAAACAGTTAAGCTCAGTGCATGAAGTGGAAGTTTACAGGGCAGGTTTGAAGTCTGGGGGTGACTGTAAGGAGAACGGAGGGTTAAGTGAAAACCAAGACAGGGGGACTTTCAAGCATCAATATTTACAGGACAAATGGAACTTAAAACTGAAACACTGCCTGGCTCTCAACTCAAAGAGTATAGAGAATAAAATAAAATTATTTCTAACAGGGATCCAACACAAAAGAAACTTAGAAAGCAATATGTCAGTTTTTCAGCCTTCAGAAATGCTCACACCATTTTTAAAAATGGTTTGAATACGTGTCCCACTATTTTTTATATAAAATATCCAGGTTCCAAAAGTATTCAAGCCATTGTTTGTGATTATGAGATTCATGTTCATGAGTATTATATAAATATACTTTTGTTCTTTGTAATTAGTCATCAGAAATTACATGTGTATATTCGATCATATCAGATCAAAAACATTCTTTGTGCTCAACTGATTCATTTTAAGTGAATATAATTATCGGAACAAGTTCACTTTAAGTAAATTTCTGAGTGTAAAAGCCAGTATTTAGAAGGATAACCCTTGGAGACATGAAGTCTACAACCCACTGAGCTCACTTAACGCAAAATAATTTGAAATGCTTTGGTGTAACCCAATATTGGTGTGTTTTTTACTTCAATCTGTTCTTTATCTCCTAAAATGCAATATCAATTGGACTTAATTCAGGACTTGGCCAAGACTTTTTCCTTCATTTCAGTTGCACTGACCCTGTGTTTTGGGTTACCATCACTCTGCACAGCAAGTATGGATACATTTTCTTCTACACAAGCAGACAAAATGTTCCCTTAAGCATCAGAGGTCTTTCACATCATGTGTGATATCACACATGGACGCCTGGGTCAGGACATTCCTTTTTATTACAAGCTTCACAAAATTCTCAGCAATAGAAAGATGCACCAGGGACGCACTGTACCATTTTCTAGACATTTCAGACAAAGATAAACCATTAGCAAAGATCAATGCGTGGAGAAAGAAAGGAACTACAGATGCTGCAAAGAACCCCATCTTATCTGAGACACAGTGGTAATGTCATGCATGGTCTATAATTACTTGGTTCAGTTTTTTCAACCCTTTATATAGATGGGGCACTACATTAGCAGTTTTCCAGTCCATAATACTGCCCTTGTGCTTAGTGACTGTTGACTTATGACTTATGAATAACATCTTGTTTACTTAACTACAACTGTCAGAATGGCATAAGGGCTCTAGGGGATTGTTTTATTACCGAGTGCTTTTATTACCCCAGACTCTTGTGTCATTCCTTTGTTAATACTATTTAACACACACAGAACTCTGTTCCACTGCCTCAGGCATGTTGGTGACTTTTCCCCCAGTCAACATCTCAATGAAATACTTCTGTATTACATCAGCCATAGACGTTTCACATCATAGTCGCAGTTATATTAGACTTCATTCTGTGTGATTCTTGTTCTGTTGGAGTACTGGAAGAACATCCGATCTCCATATCTTTCCACATCTATCCTTTTCCATGCTACTTCTCTTAAGCTCTCATTCCTTTTTTCAGGTAGTTCACAAGCACAAAGGACACGGTAGTGAAACAGAAGAAACGCTGCTCAGACGTGTTCTTTTCAATACTTCTGGCAGAAAACGAGCGCTAAGCATACGCCCCACATATCCTGCTCAAGGATATCTATTGTATCCTTATAAAACACACATGGAAGCTGAGGAAATTTGTACAAGCTTGTGTTAACTAAATCGCAAAGGGTCAAAAAGTACTTCCATGGAAGCTTGGTAAACTTCTCACTGGAAATGAGCCAAAAGCACTCCGTCATGTCAGTGCCAACACAAGACAGAAAGCAGCTGGCAGTACCTCCTGACGCTGGATCTGAAAGAGCAGCTACAGCTGCCCCATCATCATGCCAGCTCATGAGTCCACAATTATCCATGAATGAGGTGGTGATAAAAATGTTAATTAAATTAACATTTTTATTATTGGGTTATCCCAAATACCAATAATATCCCAAGGATTCAAAGACTTTAAGCAAAGTTACAGATGAAAGGAGGCCCATTTAGTTGCTGTTAGTCCGGGGATGTCATCCAGATCAGGGAATGTGATTCAGCAATATGAAGTAGACAATCTGTAAGCTTATCATGCAGAATTATTCCACTAACACTAATAGGCTGTGATATTATCATTGTTTACTTTATTTTAAAGTACCTGTTTCCCAAAAAGCGCAAAAATAAGCATTACTCAATTACACCAAATTGCCTAGGCCTCTTGAAAAGCAAAGCGTGACAATTCAGAATTTGAAGTAGGAAGCCACATCAGCATGCGGAGGCTGCAAAGGAGCACCTGCAGGTTTATTCCCCGCTGAAGGGAAAAGAAAAGAGACACAACATTGTCTTTTCTTCTCTTCTCAACATGGGACGCAGCAATTTACCAAGCTATCAAAAACGTTACTTGTGCTAAAACGCAGGACAGAATTGAAGAAGTGACGCTTCAAAAAAGTCCCGTTTAATACCCCCCCCACCAGCAACATGCACTCCGCCACGCTGGCGGCCGATGTCGCTGCCAGCCCACAGCTCTTACCGGTTCAGCGCAAAAGCGTAATGAAACTGCACGTGGGGGTGGGCCGCGGGCTCGAACGTTGGGAGCGTCCCCAAGGTCTCCACCAGCTTCACGATGGCGTCGTAATCCTGGAGGCCGCCGTCAGGGACAAACACACACACACGCACGGGGAAGAATGGACAGGCCTGTTATTTCCCAAGAGGGAAAGGACCCACTGGCAGCTGAAAGCAACACTCCTTCACTCGCTTAACCGCTTCATAGTATACAGCACCAATTAATTTTTAAAAGTACAACTGTTCTGCATTTAAGGCCATACATGTTGTAACAGTTTGGATTCCACATGCGTAAATTATTTATACCATTAACGTCCGTGATACCAGAGTGCCACAGTACGCGCATCACTGAGAGGTAAAATCGAAATAAGGCAGCATGTAGCTCATTGCATTTAGAATAATCCCCTCGGGATTGAATTGTAAATTGGAAGGAAAGGATATTAAACATTAATGATGCCGGTCTGAAAGTGTCTTGACATAACCAGACAGGAACCACAGCAGCAAGAGAAAGTAAAACACGTCGCGAAACATGAGCTCGTGCTCTTCATTAACACTCTAAATTAGTGCAAAGAAACAGAAATGAAAAAAGTCACATTTGCTTTGATGCAAAATCAGACTATTTTAAAAACATAAGGAAATGCTTATGGCCTGATTTAGGCTTGGAAAATGTAAACAACCTCAAGCAAATCTAAATATTGATTCTGAAACTGCGGTGAAACAAAAGGATACAGTATAAATGCCAACAAATAAAATGGAAAAAAAATCTTTCAGGGCATCCAGTGACTGAACTTGGTAAGGGATTTTATTCAGAAAAAGTCTAATACCTGTGAAAGAAGCTCAAAACAAGAAGCATAATTATCTGCAAAGAAAACTAATCTATAACAATGACTCTCCAACAGCGAGCACACAGGCAGGACAGGGTCAAGATGCTTAAGAGGAAAAAAGTAGAATGAAATGACAAGATGTTCTCATTCTTGTCTTCAGTTCTTATTATACTTTGAGATTTCATTTTGAGTTTAATGTCATTTCTTTCACTGTTTTCTACAGAGATTGAGGGCTGGGTTGTGCAGTGAATACAGTACTAAGTTAACCACTGGAAAAGGTATGTTTTTAGATTGTTATGAAGTGTCTTTAAAAATCTAGATACAATGGGTATCACATGGCTAGTGTCTGATGTTGACCGAGACATAGGGTTGCCAGATTCAGTGATCAAAGGAATCGTGAAGTTTACCGTGGTTTACCTTAGTTCATTAAGCTGTGGGTAAATGATTATGGGCCTAGCAACAGTCCAGGAAGACAGCATAAAACAGGCAGATACAGAAGAGGTTAAAGTGAAGGACAGTAAAGAAGGAAAAAGAAGACAAGGGACAAGCAAAGGGGAAAGCAGGAGCTTCAGATCACCTGGAAAGATCAGAATAGAGCCTAGTATATGAAGCCTGTCAAGGGAGCTTGCTCTTCTGTGATTTATAGGGAACGTTGATTTCCTGTGTAAAGAATCTCTTGGCTAAAAACAGCCTCCCCTGGTTTGTGGGTGCATTTTTAGAACAGACAGATAGGTTCACATTCATTTAGTGGCATCCGGGCTTACAGAGGGAGAGAGATTTAACCACAGGTTAAGAAGGCAGCTCGTCTCCTCTTTTGGCCTTTGTAGGTGTTATGCAAGAGTCAAATACTTGGCAGCCGTCTGGGATTTTTCTGGGTGGTTAGTACGTTGGGCCTTTGGGACATCGTGTGTGTAAATTTGTAAACAGAGTAACCCGTGTTGTATGTTTATGTTGTGTGTTGTTTAGTGTGTGCAGTGTCACTTTTAATAAATGTTTGCTTAATCAAGTGTGCCTGAATTATTTACTCTTTTCACCAAAGCTGTGACAGAGAACAAAGAATTCATGTGCCTCTAACTACAATATACCAACTGCTCATGTATATTCCTGGACAAAAACTTTAAAAACTGGGGGGTTATGATTATTTAAATTATTGATTTATCTGCTCGGCCTATTTCCTGACATTCTCTATTTTCGTAACCCCCTATCTGTAACTATCATACCTGACTCACTGTGTCTAAGCTCGAAGAAGACTACTAAAGCTCTTTGCATCCTCTCCTGCCCCAGTTGACCAACCAGTCAAGAGGAAGTTGCGCTTCCTGGCCCGCGGGAGTCAGACAAATTACAAAATAACATGTGTAAAACATCACGGATTCAGAGCTCCCAACCAACACGACCCAGACACAGTTCCGTCGCACATTTCTCAGGCGGCAGTTTTACTCGTACCTGAATGTCTCGGTAGGACAGGAGCAAGTTGATGACGACGTCTGCCGACAGACACTCCATGTTGTCCACTCGCTGCCGGATCCGCTCCAGCTCTGCTGCCAGCTCCGCGCCACTGTAGACTTCCCGGGCTTTCCGGATTTTATTCAAAATGGTTTCATGTAAATACTGGCTAGATTAAAGCATAGGGTAACACAAGAGAACAAGTTCAAACAGCGCCTACATAGCTTTAGACAACATCAGGCAGCTTTCAATGACCCCAGCTGGGCTCTAGCTTGCAGTATACGAATGTACTGCAATAGCTGGGGCCAGTGTAGCATTGTGGGTAAGCCGCTAGACTCAACCGATAGACTGTGGGTTCAGGTCACTGCTGTGGACACTGTTGCTGTACTCTTGACTGGGCTACCTGCGGCTCACAACTGGCAGTCCCACTGAAGCTCAGCAGGCGTGAGCCTGGTCAGTACCTGGATGGGAGACGTCCTGGGAAAGCTGAGGTTGCTGCTGGAAGAGGTGTTAGTAAGGCCAGCAGGGGGCGCTCACCTTGTGGTCTGTGTGGGTCCTAATGCCCCAGTATAATGTCCTGGACACTATACTGTAAAAAGGCACCATTTACAGCTTCCTGAGATATTTAACCACCCTCCTTAGTGACACATCTATTCATTGCGACTTGAACCTGTTTTCAAATCTGTACCAAAATTAAGTTAGTTTTATAGCCCTCCCGTGCTGTGAAGGTTTTTTTTTTTTATCGGAACAGAATTCAGCCAAAGTGCAAATACAACTTTTCCTGACTCATTTTTCCTGGAAGTAAACCTCAACATTGGCAACAGCACCTCTCCTAATGCTCACAGTACCTCAATTGACAAGCTTAAAGTGTGGCTTGAGAGTAAACCGAAAATAATGAGGAGTACCAACCCTATCAGTGAGCAGTCAGTGCTGAGACACTTCCTGTTCTGAATTATTCTTATGTTGTACTATTTCCTCCTTGTTGTTTATACAGCTTATGTCCTGTTGCTTATACGTACTGTTATGTCCTGTACTTTTAAAAATGCAGGAATAAAAACAGATAAACACCATCCCAAATGCAAAGACAGCTTAATCAGTATAAAGTGTTTTAGAATGTGTAACCTTTGGTAAAATTAGCAATTTCGGTCATAAGCACAATTGCATCAAACTGCACATTTCCTTTACCTACCAATGAATGGAACACAGTACTGGAAAGATACAGCTAATGAGATGAGTCCTATGGTTGAACTATGGCTGAATGTTACAGTATATCTCAATATGCCCATTAAACATTAGTGCTCTTTTAGGAAAGACAAGCAGTTCTGATCACTTCCATCACAGGCTCTTGATCAAATTATACACATTTAAAGCTGTGATGCATCCATCACATTTTCAGTAACATCACTGTTTGGAGATCGGAGAATGTTTCGATTTCACCGGCTTTGTAAAGGAAAGTATAACAGACACATATTTCATGAGACTTCTCATTTCACTACCTAAAACATTTCGTTTTAGCACATGACTGCAGGGGAACCAAAGCTAAATTTGGATAACGGCACATAGTCCTTCATGGCGCTTATGAAACTTACCAAGAATTGGTTTGCGAGACCTTCAGCAGCTGGACAAAGCGATCCACAAGAGGCATGCAGATGGGCCCGAGCAGCACCTCAAAGCTGGGCTGCATTAATTCCGTCAGTCCCTTCATCAGACTGCTTTCGCAGCAGTAGACTTTATTGTGCGGCGTCACCATATACGGTATAAAGGTATAATTCCCTGTACAGGTCTGGTAGAAACAAAACAAACATTTCAGCTGGAATGCAATTTTCAGGAACAGATCCTATGAGGCAACTTGTGAGGTTTCTTGGTAACAGCAGGAAGTCAGCATTTTGAAAGTATTTGCAAGAAACTGCAGCCTCAATATTAAAAGTAATGGAATTAGAATATTTTCAGATATTTATTATAATAAGGCTTGCTTTGCCCTCAGACCTAAGCTGGTTGAAAATGGTATTTGCTTTCATGATCATCACAACAGTCCCATACGATTTATGGTATCTTTAAGACTGTAGTA